AGATATCGCCCGGCGCCGATGTCTGCAAGCGATTTGCGTTATTTTCAACATATTTCGATGCATTCGCTGTGCGTCGCTTTACCGGCAATTCAATCATACTTATGTCGCCCATCGCATGTACGGATTACCAGATGCCGCCGATAATTTAATCGGGTCGACCGTTAATGGCCACCCGTCTCACTTTTATCCAAACGATGCGTCAATCTCGGAGCCCGTCCGGTAAATGCTACGGAGCACGCAATTCGACGACGTAAGGTCGCTCCACCGGCCACCGTTGCTTTCACGCGGCGTCGATGAGAACTTGCTTCATTAAATCAACGAACAATCATCGGTCGTGCCTCCCGGCGGAATCCGTTTCTTCGAAAAATTCCGAGGTGGTCTCGAAGTAGGTGGTACGTGTAATAATAGGTTCGCGTCGACACGGCACGACTGTGAATCTCAGCTCGTTCTTACGAAAGTTGCGGTTGTCTTCACGAGTGCTCCGCAAATGCCGAATCTTCGTTTGGAAACATGACACGATATCGAAAGCTTTTTTTAAAATGGAAGGCGTAACGTTGAAATGGGAAATCTTCGATTGCAAAAGAACGTATCGCGCTTCCGTCACTTTTTCGTCATCCTCCTTGCCATCGTAAAATTTTCGTGCATTATTAATAAAAACTACGATTGTCTTTATGAAACTCCATTATGTTGAAATGAAAACGATGAATCTTTGACTGCATTGGAATATATCGCGTAAGAATATACAATATCATATTTCCATCGTATCTTCGCCGTTCGTATTATCGCCGTGGAAAATTCTCGTACATTATTAATAATAGCTACGTCCTCATGAGCATTCCATATATGGAGACCTTAATTTGCAAACACGATACGATATCGCGAGTTTTTGTTTTTCTAAAAAAAAAACGCAAGACGTAAACACTGAAAATGAAGACATAACGAATCATCGATTGCATGAGAACATATCGCGCTTTTATCGCATCTTCGTCATCCGCGTTATCATCCGTGTAAAACTCTCATACATTAATAATAAAAGCTGCTGTCTCCACGGAATACTCCGTATGCGGAGAAGCTTCATTTGCAAACTCGATACGATATCACGAACTTCCTTCTCATCGTTATTAAAATGAAGATGTAACGAGTTATCGCTTACACCGGTATGTGTCGCATTTTCATCGCACCTTCGTCATACGCATCATCATTATGAAATCCTCGTGCATGACATCGTCGGCGATCGTGTTGACTGCGTTTCGAGGCTACACTCGAGTTCCTTCATCGTGTTCTAGAAGAGGTTGCATTACGACGGCAATGATTTGCCGATCGGCGGCCGACGACGAGATGCTCTCTCGTTTGCTTTTAAATACGTATACACGCGAAAATCCACTTTGGCTCGCATCGTTTCTAAGTGCGGCCCTGCTCGCGCGTGTATGTTCGCGAGCGAGCGTTAAATGCATTCCATCTGCCCGAGGTGGTAGATTAGTCGTCATTGACAGAACGCGCGGGCCGGTTCGGGTATAATAAGCGAGAGAGTCGCTCGAATAAAAATGATTTATACCGGGCGCGATGTGTCGACGAGATAGCGGCGACGTGGATTGAATTCAGATGAAGCTCCCCGTACGCCCCTAGAGATTATACCCGATGTCCTTCGCGGAATCTTTCCCGTGATGATCTTAAATTAGCCCGATCGCCGATCCCGATCACGCCATTATCGCAGCGAGCTTGTTCGTAAGAACGGTAATAGAGTCCGGCGATTCGTTATAGTCGTCTATACTTTCCCATGTTATCGTGAGTACGCGACAAGATTTTTCTTCTCTTTAGGTGACGTGAATAGCAACGTTTAAGCCGGAATATACGGTTTTATGGCAGAATCAGCGGAGGACTGTAACATAGAAGAAAATAGTCAACTCGAGTCATTAAAATGTTCAGATTTTAGTTGACTTTTATTTTGTATTTGCTTCATTTTTGATCTTCTAATGGTAGGGTTGGGGTTAACTTCGACCCTTTGCTCTGTTTTGTTCATTTTTCATTATCTAATTAAGGTATAAAATAGGTAAAAAAAAACTAAATAATAATAATAATAATTAATGAAATTTCTTATTCTGCTTATTTATAGGTGAAAAATATATATATATAAATATAAAATAATATATATAAATATAAAAATATATGTTGACACTTATCTCCCCTATTCTCCAAGTTGAAAAGTACGAATCAGGATGTATCAAAAGATATCAGCTCTGTGACATTTTCCGTAATAAAATACAAGAAGTGCTATACATTTCACACGACATGCTTGACAAATGCCAGGACAATTTCAACTGGCGAAGCATAAAAGCGGATATTCCGGCGTGCTGGGACTAACGAGCGGGCGCATCGCGACAACGAAATAATTACACCCCGCGAATTCGCAATTAAGTCGATAGCCCGGCCTCGTAACCGGCGGCGCGATTGCGTTATCGCAGAGCTCTCGACGGCCGTCGCCGTCAGCGGAAAGAGACGTGGAGTGTGACAGGGGCCTAAGGCGCCAAGTGCATCGGCCACACTTGCATCCCGTGGCGCACCGGAATGTCGGATCAAAGCGAGCGATTCGAAAGAGTGCGAGAGAGAGAAAGAGGAAGAGAAAACGAGAAGGAGAGGGTAGAGGGGGAGAAAAAAAGGAGGCGAAGTGGACGCAGGGCGAAAAATAAAGCATCGCGAAATTCTTCGGCCACGCACGCGGCGCTACCGGATACGCATCTCGACAGGGAGACCCGTTAAGGGTTCCTCACACCGAGAGAGAAAGAGAGAGCCAACCCCCTGCCTCGGGCGTACGGCCGTCGCCACGCGTTTCCACAGCGCCACTCTCGCGCGGATACTTCCTTTCGCGTTGCTCTTTTTCAACTGGACGTGGCGGTGTCGGTGCATATAAAGTAGCGGAGACCTCGAACCCGCAAACCGGACGCGGAGGAGCGCACCGGAGCTGCTGTAGGTAACATCAGCTCGGATCTTGGTTAATCCAAGAACCAAATACGCGCTGGATTTCTCTGTCTCTCTCCCTCCCACCCGTGAGAACGCATTGCTCGTTGAATCGCGCGAATGCCCGTTCGTATCCGAGCGTCTGCTTCGAAGACTGCTTCCCGCTTCGAGCCGCATCGGTATTATACGCGCTTTCGAAACACGATAATGGTCATGTGATCATCGCTCTGCGTGGGATGTACTTGTCGTTCGGTTATTAATAGCGGCTACTAAACGGTTATGAATCATCAATATTCTGAAAGTAATTGGATTCTTAACAGCTGGAAAACTTCATGACGCCGCGCGCGCGTATCTAAACTTCCATTTCCCGGCCCGTTTCGCATTTCCACTCCGCGGGGAGTAGATTCGGGCAAACTTTTATCGCTCCGCGGAAAGTTCGACCCCCGGTTCCGGCGCGCTCTCGATTTTGTTATTTGTATTTACAGCTGGGTTCACGCCATTTTTTTTATCTTCAACGTGGTTACTTAACTTCGCCGGTGAGTTAAATAAACTTTTTTCCCGTCTTTCACTCGGATTTCCCTGTCATGTTTCTTTTTATCTCACGTTGATATTATACGAGAGTTTCAGTGTCATTACCGGGTAGCTAATGGGATTTCTTTTCTGCCGTTAATGCGTTAAATTCTGTTTCTCGTATCCTCAAATGTTTCCCCGACGCTTTAAGGGATTTTTCGAAATATAAAGAGGAGGGGGGAAGGATATGTGTGATCATGTAATCTTTAGATTTCATGGAGCCACCACAAAATGTCATCCGCCCGTAACCCTTTTCTCCTTTCCTCGAAGTGGTCGCGCCAATTTACCGCTAATCCGTGTTATGTCATGGTTGAGTAATTCGCGTGCTTTCGATGACGTAATTCTTGCGGTAGGTTAGTCCCGTGTCACGAGGTCATCGGGGAAAAAACTCCGTCGAGGTTGCGCCCCAAGAAAACGAACAGACGTCAGCGGGAGTCAAGTAATCATGGCTGGTTGTGTATTTGCAGAAATCCTTGTTGCGAACTTGCCAACTGTGACAGGGTGCAATGGAGTTTCGAGAATTATTTCCACTAAAGTCGTATTGTACGGACCTATTGTCGTTTAGATTGCAATATGGACTTTGCGAAGATCGTGTTGCATGAACGTTTCCACTAATTTCAATTGTTATACAGACCCTATGTGCGAAATATCGATTTTACTTCATCCCGAGTTTTCCGTTAAAACATCAAAAGCGTTTGTAAGTTAGATCGCAAACTTTTCTGAAAGACGCGTCAATGAAAGTCAGCGCGGAATTATTATTGCGTCATTATTGTTACATTTCCAGGCGATGCGAACGACTGAGTTGTAAACATACAACTCCATATCGTAACGTCCACGAAACTCGAGCAATTAGCTTTAAATGGTCTGATGTGTCGGTAGGAAGGGGGATATATGGAATAGACGATTCTTAACTTCTTCGTTGCGATTCGTACCCGAGAGCAGCGTCAGTCAACAATTTATGGCCGACGATTGTTCCTCTAACAAGCTCCTCGATTTCCCGAGGCTCGTGGAATTATAGTTCACGCGGGTGCCCGTAGATATTCCTATACAAGAAGAATCCGAGTGAATTTACTCTCGCGGCTTAGTTTGTTCTTTATGCGATCTTTACGCAATCACTTTTATTCCCGTTAAAATCGGGAGTATTACGTATATTTGGTTTCAATTTATGTTGGTCTACTCAATTAAAAATATTAATCGTCCGGTTTTATTAGTTCAGACAAATTAGGTTGTATTTTTTATTTAACGACGGTATAGTATATATTTCCGATAAATAAGAATTACTAGTGGCATTCAAGTTATAAATTGAAATGCACCCCCATTGAAATTTAATATACACTGGCAATATATTTCTTCATATATTTATATTTAGTTATATTTTACGTTATATTTTTTTCATTATTTTATTATTTTTCTATTTTAATATTTTACCGTTATTATTTTAGCATATATCTAGGAAACATATATGTATCTTTTAGAAGGCCGTGAGACTCCATTATCACCGCCACCCCCTTCGAGCTCTTCGGTTCAGACCTCACCTCGTGGTTTAGGTTATACCTGTGGTCCCATAGATGGATCCTTGTACGCCGTGGTGCATCAGGGTGCTGCAGGAGGTGCCCGTGGTTCGCCATTGACAGTTTCCATGGACAGTGGCATAAGTAGTGCACCGCCACAAAGACCCAGCCCGCCAGAACCCGAGCCGGAAAACCAGACTCACGGGGACCTCGACAAGCTTCTTCATGATATGATGCTCACCGTCGAGGTAAGTTCAAAGATTTCCTTATAGGATTCTTACAGGATCACGTGGTTTGTCAATTGTCGATAATTATTATCACATATAGAGTTACAGGGAAATTTGGGAATTTTATTAATTATTGTTAAGTAAAACTTTGCTCATCAGGCCAAGGAGAAATAGAACAGAACATTGAGAGCCTAATCGTGGCTGTTGTAACGATGTAATATTACATTTTTTTTTTAGGAGAATATAAATATTTATCGCACGTACCGGATTATTCTCCGGACAAACTTACGCGGCGAACCAACTTCCTACGTTTAACTAATAATTCTTTTAACCCTTGACAAATACTGAAAATAATGTAGTATATATTCCATCTCTCTCCTTTCTCTTTGTAACCTACAGATCCTACGCTGTAAGAAAAAATACCTAAAAAAAAATGGAAAATATTTATTTTGTGAGTACTAATAACATATTTGCCTGTATTAAAATACATATTTTTGCGCTAAAAAAAAATTTCAAGTGAGAAAATGTATATTTTCTTGAATCTGTAGTTTCATGAAAGCAATTGTTTATTTTATATATTTAAATATAAGAATTTAAATAAATATGTTATTAATACCAATCGTAGAATTTTTATTTTTTACATATTTTTTTCCCTCAGTGTATGTAGACATATTTGCTCATTTCATCAAATTTCGAACGGTATAATGAATCTTCTGTACAGTCTATGCCAGATCCTCCGACAGAGGACTACAATCGTGATCGAAGCGAAAAGGTATACATCCAGGAGACGCGCAGCTACAGCAGTCACGGCAGCAGTCATCCGACGTCTACTTATTCCACCCTGAAGGACTCGTACAGAAGCTACGGTGGTGGCAAAGAGTCGAGTCCGCCGTACAATTCGAGCAGCAGCTACAGCACCCTGAAGAACGAGTACAGAGAGTCGTCCAAGAATATCGAGCACCGATCGAGGGACGACTTCGAGTACCGCGTATCCCCTGACCGGAAAGTGCCCGAGTCCTCCAACGATTCCTACAGGAAACACGCGGACTCCTTCTCGCCGCCGGGCAACATCGACTTCATCGACGAGGATATACCGTATCACGCCAGGCAGACCAGCCAGCCGTTCTCGTACGGCGCCACCACGGATATGATAAAGCACCAGAAGCTATCGTCGCCTTCGTTGGTGAGGAAGGCGTCCGTGCGCAACGCCGCACCTGTCGTCGACTTCGAAGACATCCTTGGCGAGAATTCCAGGAGACCCATCAGCCCCCTCAGCTCCAATACTCCGGACCCGCCGCCGGAGTTTGCGAACGGGCCCATGAAGAGCGGCACGGACCACGTGGACGGGTGAGTAAACCCTGAAAAAATGTATTACAACAATATACAGGAATTACCTTTGAGATATTTATGAAAATTATATTCTGGTTAAAATTACAATTCTAAAATTAACATTAAAATTCATCATATTTTAATATATTATAATATTAATATTAAAATTAGATTCTAAAATTAAATTATTCTAAAAATAACGGTGGCAAAAGCTCCAACAGTTTGCATGAGGGGTAGATTCGCCGAGTGCTGATGGAAAATTGAGAAAGGAATCACAAAATGTTCTTTTTCTTAATATAAGAAAAGTGTCTATGTTCTAAAAGGACACTTTCGCGATTCTTCTCTTTCCTACAATGAATACACTCTCTTACAATAAATACGTAAACGAAACTTTCGACAAACCTGCTCTGATCTCTCTTACATTTTCGCTCCGCTAATTGCGTCCAAAACTCGCGTTTACGCAGCTCTATTCTCTCTCCGCGAGATCGTTAACCACCTCCTCTCACCTCTCTCTCTTTCTCTCTCCCGAAGAGTCGCTGGAAGAAATGATGTTCCCCGTGTCTCACGACACACGATGCTTATTCACTTCGCGCTGTCAACGGTCGAAAAGGCTCGTCACCGTGCACGACGGGTAAATCGCGACGTTGCGAAAGCAGAAAGATTAGGCGGTTTTCGCGGATGTCGGCTGGGAAAATCGCGCCGGAGCGAGTGGTTCGTACCTTTGGCAACGCTTCCAGACGGCCGATGTCGTCGACAGCGTGATGTCGCAATGCATCCTCCGAATCAGGCGCCGCAAAAGAGCCGCGCTCGCGCTTGAAGGAACGGGCGAGCGAGAGAAAGGGAGAAAAAGAAAGAAAGATAGAGGGAGAGAGAGAGAAAGAGAGAGAGAAAAGAGGAGGGAGAACAGAAGAGTCCACAGGTCGACCATGGACAATTAATAAATCGTCGACCCATACGCGGCCACGTCGCGATACCTCCGCCGCGAATGGTAAACGCGGTCGTCGTGAATCATTGTCGTTCGCAAAGCGCGTAAAGAAGAGACGCTTAGCTGGTCGCGAGCATTCGCGTCGATTCTGTCGCAGCCGAAAGCCGTCATCGTTGCGAGACACAAAGGGGACGTTACTCCGTTTGCATTAACTTTTTCCACGCGGATAATTAAGAGAAAAGAAGAAAACGTAACAGGCACAGTGAGAAGAGGCGAATTCGAGCGGCAACGTGTTTCGAAAGGGAATCGCTCTGGTTGCGTCGCGTCGCGTTGTAAAGGCGAACGCATCCCGTAAATGCGCGCGTCATCGTGTAACGCCATTCACCTCGAAGTCATCAATTTTTTGCACGGACCGAAGCTTTCGCGGCTCGGTGCCGCCCTGCGCATCTCGCGAATGAGATGCTGCGCGTGAATGGAAGAGAAAGCACGCGCGGTCGCGTAAAACGAGTCTGTTAACCCTGTTTGGCCTGGCGCGGCCGTAAAATAACATACCGACTTGCGGAATTCACTCTGTCATCGCGGTGTTCACGATGAGAACACGTCGAATTAAGTAAACTGATTTCGCGACATCGCCCGTGTATTCTCCCTTTGCGCGCGCCAAAATAGAATTTTTTTGCAAGTTTTCCCCGTGAAATATCCTCATTCTCGTGATAAGGGAGATCGGCCGGGAGTCTCGTATTTTAGAATTTCGAAATTACAACTTTTCGGGCAACTAATTGTTGTGACTGTGCGGGTTCATGCGTCAACGAAAAATCCGATCAAAATCATGTCGAAGTCAAGTCGAAAATTATGTGAAAATTAATGTTCGATTTTATATCTGTAAGTCCTCATCACGATATCTAGAAGATATTATGTAGATGTTGACGATCTAGTCGTTATTCAGTTTATGTCATATTCACATCAAGTCGATAGATATATATAACGATTCGACTTGGATATGATACCGACTTGATCTCGACTACATCATCAATAATCGGTCGGCACCTATATGACGTCTTCTATATATCACATAGACAGCTGCATATCGACTATACATCAACATGATGTTATCCAAATGTAGCTTCCTTTGCACATATCAATGAAAAATTAATAGTTATCAAATCGAATCCGGAAGGTCAATCATCGATTGATCAATCAAATATCGGGTCGATCATCGACTTGTGAACTCGGGTACAAATACGACATGAGAGGCAGCCTTTTTCTGTGTGTTAATCGCCCACCACGATCCTATTAACTGTGTATTTTGTTTTGCAACAACCAAAATTGTAATACAACGTGGGCCATCTTGCCCTAGTACCGGGTTCAGTTGCTCGATAACGCAGGGTAAGAAAGTCACATAAAATCGTGACAGACTATATATCCGACAGTGCTGTTACTATTGAAACTAGGTGCCGCGCTAAACGCCACGGCACTAGCCTTGAATATAGGCCAACCTTATTCTGACCGTCCATATGCTCAGTTTCAATCATTTTATGAATGAAAATTGCATTTGTTATCCGAAATAGAGTATATCATACACGCATGAGAAACTTCATTGCTACCTAGTAACACGTCGCGTAACTTCACTCATTCACGATGGAGAATATTGATACAAAAAGTTTCGAGAGTTTGGAAAATTTATTTTGCGAATGCTAAATCAGGTTTTTTTCTTTTCTTTTAATAATAACATTAACCCGATTTTAAAGACACTCAGGGAAAGTATCTATGTTATAAAAGGATCATTTTGTGACTTAATATTCACTATTTCTCTCAAGATACATACCCAGAAAAGCACATGAGCAACATACCCCTGAGGCCATTTAGCTCGATCTCCCTTATTTTCGCGCAACGCGAATATCTCCCTCGTATTTCCCACGTTACTCAACTTTCGATTTAACAAATCAGCACACGTCATTTCTGTCAATATTGTCGCCGCCGAAATTACTGTAAATTTCAATTTTACGCCATCGCGCGCGTCGTCCAGTCGCCGAAAATAAAATTCGCTTCGTGAAGCCCTCCCGATGCTCAACTTATGCCTCTCCTTTCTTTTTAACTGAAAACTGCGAAGGGAACGTATGGCTTCATAAAAAATGGTATTACGGAGGGCTGATGGTAGCTCGACGGGTTCGACGAACCAGATACCCGCGCCGTAAAATCCACGTCGTATTGCGTACCGCGAAGCTCGCCGTGAAAATAAACGCGCGACTACCCTCCGCGAACGGAACGATTTCGCGCGAGTAACCGTGAGATTTCGTGCGGATATTTATGAAGAGGAGAGGTGCGCGCGCGCGCGCGCACACCGACCGGAGAGGAAGCAGACGACGTTTACGGTCGGGGAGATCGACGGACGTTCGGCAGGTCCCCGTCGCTTTCACGAGAGTGAAAGAAACGTGACATTCCAGGCGTGAGGACACACCGGAGATATGTCCCCGCTCGTGCATCCGGAGACGACTGCTCCCGCGAAAATAAAACGGGACATTGTAACGACGTGTTACTTAATGAACACATTTCCGAGTCCCCGTTACAACATCGCGACCGGGCCGCGCTACGTCGTCGTCACGGAAAAATAAGATGGAGCCTCGGAGAAGAAGAGGAGAGTCACCTATTTCGGGGCGCCGCTCGCTCTCTGACATAATTATAAATATAGAACGGACGAGACGCGCGCTAAATCGGCCCTGCGTGAATACGTCTCACTCTCTCCGCCGCCGTCTGATTTATCTCCGCTTACTTTACCCGCGTGCGATACGTTTGAGGATGATCCATCGGTTAATGAGGCGCGAAACGCTTTCCCGCACGGCGCGAGATAAGTCCGAAATTCGCACGGCAATCGACAGCGCGCGATTTTCCGCGCGGTGTATTATCCGCGCGGAATTACATTTTGAGAAATCTTCGTAGCACTGCGCACGAGTGTCTGTTGGTGTGACATTTATGTTATTTATTGCGCCGAAAGTTTTATTTCCCGTTGCCCTTTCGTTGCATTTTCCTCCCTTATACGTTATCGCGCACATTGCGCCGGAGTACGTGTGTGTGTCCCTCTTTTTATCTCTCAGTATAACTTTTCTTCCCTCATAACTCCGGAAACACCAGAGAAACGGCACTCGGAAGCGGAAGTCATCGGAAGGCGAGGTGGGAGCACAAAACCCGCTCGTAAAGCCTCGTATAATTTTCTCCGCAAGCTCGTGCTTGTGTCGTCCTTTCCGGATGGACCATACCCACACAGAGCCAAACTTTTCTATTGCGCCCAAAAATCCTCGTCGTTCACGTAATAATATCGCTGGCGGACGTATCAACAATGTTCTATCTGTGCCAATGGCACTCTCATATATTCATAGATTAACGCGACCTCGCAAATTACTGCGCGGCAATTTCTCGTATTGTAAAATGTAGATTTGTATGCTTTCCGCGTCGCTATTTCGCTCGTTGATGTTGCTTCGATCATTATCATTTATTAAATTTAACGTGAACTTTTTTTATACATTCATAAAATTATGGATTTAACATTTAATGTCACACTTTATATTTGTAAATTTATTAAATAAAACGTTACACTTTTCTCAATTCTTCTTGTTTGTACACGTTATTTCAATATTTATTCATCGGCAGAACTTGCAACTGTAATAAATTGTCAATTGCCGTTTGGCAGAAGTTAGTTTTATTGTTGTGCCTACGAGAACGTATGTTGAATAAATCTCGAGCGAGACGCGTTAAACTTTCGCGAAACAAGCGTAGCTGTATAAACAAACCAACGAAGATAGAATAACGTCCGCTGTTATTCGTCATGAACAATGAAATGAAATTTCATTCGCCGTTCGCTTTAGTAATGCATAAACCGAGTTGAATTTTGGTTTCCAAGAAACACAAACAGATATTTCAATCAATGGCATATCTATAATAAACGTGGATACTCGCGGAAGATTCCACGAGTATCTATGTTTCCAGATCGGTCAAGGTTGATGCGAGCCGGCGGTTTCTCGACTGTTTCATATTTAATGCCTTCCAAGTGGTACTCTATATTTGTCGTCCGGGGAATTCCTGCCCGTTTACGTATAAACACGCAAATTTAAACATCACAATGTAGATTGTTTTCCTCTCAAAATAATAAGGGGAAACCGTAAGAAATTTTAGTTATTTCTCAATTAAATAATATTATTAATTTAATAATAATAATTATAAGATTAAATAATAAGAGATCATTACATAATAATAGTAATAATAATAATCATTATCATAACTTGAAAAAAACTGAAAACTTCTTTGCTTTACATTGAAAGTTTTAAAAAACTTTTCCTTTCAATTTTCCTTTCAAGAGAAAAAAAGTAAAAAAACGTAAAAAATTTTAGTTACTTCTTAATTAAAGAGTGTTATTAATTTAATAATATTATTAATTTAACATTAATAATTGAAATCAAATAATAATAGTAATAAAAGGAGCTAAAACAACAGTAACAATAACTTGACAAACTGGAAAAACATTTTCGTTCCACATTAAAAAGTTAGTTTCAAGTTAGATATAAATCATAACGTGTGCCTATTTGTGGAGCGATTATTTTTCGCAAAATTAAATCGACTTTTTACAACACACACAACGGTTGCCGAAGGGAATTCGAGAATCTAAAGAGATTCGCCTTTAAACCAACGCTCTCGCCGAACGACAAGTCCGCTCGCGCGGAGGTGCAGTTTACAACCCTCCTGGGGATTGTGCGCATTCGAGCGGGCATAAATTTCGTTATTCGAAAAAAGAAATCCTTCGTGACTTACGCTGATTGGCTACCGAGGCCGTCGTTTATTATCTCGAAGACCGGCCGGGTGCAACGCTCTCTCTCTCTCTCTCTCTCTCCGGAGCCACTAGCTGATGGCCCGGGGCGACCTCATCGATCAGGGTGTAATTATCGGCATCTATCGTGGTAGGAGGTCCAGAATCCGGCGTAGCGGAATTCCGCGAGTCTATTCGCGAGAAGGAGCCGTGTGTTCTAACGAGCCTTTGTTACCGGAGTCGCGGTTCTTGGGTTCCCTTAAGAAAGCGCGGCTTCTCGTATTTTCAACTGCTCGTCGCTCGTAACGTGATAGGTCGCTGTTGAGAGGCATGAAAGCGAAAAAGCGCCGCGACTATTCGCCATTACTCACGTCGCGCTATTGAATGTCCAGTTGCGCTCGCTAACATTGTGCCGGTCGTTAAATACCGCATCGAAAAATGCAGCCCCATCGCTAAGCGAACCGCGGCGAGTTCGCTCGATCGTCCGGTATGAACGGCTCGCAATGAGAACGATCGATCGAGGGACATTCTATTTTTTATTTGTTCTTAATAGAGTAATTCTCGTTTCTTGCCTTTGTTGCACGATACGTCCTCTCGATAGAAAAAGAAAGGGAGAGAGACAAACATCAAAGGAAACTCACGATAAGGCAATTCCATCTCTTCCGTTATCATTCAGGTTGTCGTGGCTGAGACAACAGCAGTTGAAACTTGCCGCTAGGAGAGATGAAAGGAGTCCTAGCAAGCTTTGGCGACAGGAGACCGGAAACCGTGTCATCGGCGAGCTCAGGAGCCTGCAGAGAGGGAGATTGAGACACGATGGTTACGCAAGCGATTCGGCAGTCCTCGACGACGATGACGATACGTGGACTGCAGGTTCCATTTCCGGACAGGTAAGGAAATACGTGATTGTGTCGTTTGGAGAAAAGAAATCAAATTAATATATTCTACTTTCTGATGATAAAAATAAATTTCAAATTCCTGCAGATAAATTCACATTCTTATGAATAACTAAAATAAAACAAGCAGCGAAATATATAGAATTGTAATAAATTTACAATTTAACATACGGAGAACTTCTTGACAAGATTATTAATCCTAGAATGCAAATCTAATAACAGCAAGTATCAGAATAAGTACTCGAAGGAAAATTAATGTCTTCGCGTTTGTGGTAATTGTATACAGAAAAAAGTGCCAGATTCAAGTAAATATAATTACTCCATTACTTTTTAGCGAATTTTTATTTGGATCAAGTAGATTTTACTTGAATCAAACAAATATGATTTGACCCAAGTAAAAATTTACCATAAATATTGGAGTAAATATTTACTTGAATCTAACACTTTTTCTGTGTGCGTTATTAAACTTGCGTATTTTGTTATTTCGGAAACACAATTACAACGAAATACAGCCATTCTCTTTACGACGTTAACGAACACGCTTGTAATTAAATAAACAACGCTTACTAACGAGAAAGAAAGGGAGAGAGAGAGAGAAACGAGTCGCGCATTCTAGAACTAACTTGGCTGACATTTGTCGTTTATCGATTAGCCGCCGTCGAGAGCTGTTCCGTACACGTCCGCACCAGCTAGTCCTCTACTTCCGCAGAGATCGAGCAGTCGGAAGTACAATGGCAGCATCGGGAGCGGGGTTCTCGGTAGACCGCGCGCGGAGAGTATGAACGAACGGCCGTTCGTCTCCGTGAAACGTGCTTACGAATACCGCAAGTACAGCGACAGTCAGGTAAGTACAATGATTGTACACCCAGGTGCATCCGGTGCACTTCGCTCGTTAGATTGCTGGGATCGTACGTGCCATCGTTTCGAACTATACTTTCAAACATTCCACGGTCATGATCGTTATTTCGAATTTTATAATCATTACGTTCCTTGTTCCCGAAATTTCTCGCAGCAAAATCTCACCGAAAATGATTGAACAATCATTCGAAGTGATAAATAAAAAAACCCAAACTTAGAATTGATTCTTAATTTTGAGTAATTGTTTTAATCGATTCTGAATCTTTTAGGTAACTATTCTAATTAATTCTTAATTCTGAGTAACTATTTTAATTGATCATAGAGTGAATTAGTTTCCATGATGGTGGAATATATCAAATTTGTCCTACAACTTCAAGCGAAAGAGTATTTACTCGACAATTCAGAGTGGGGAATTCGGTCTGTATGAACGAAGAGACACTCGAATTCATGTGAACCAGCTGTCATTCTACTTTTCGAGTGGAATTTCACTCGGAGAAATTTAAAGAGTATGAATTACGTACAAACTAGGTCTCGTAAAATTTCAATGATATCCGAGGGACCCGAATACCTCAAAATTGCGACATGTGTGACGAATTGAGTCTGCAACGTGATTTATTCAATTGGCGTGCAATTTTTACATTTCCCGGATATTGGAAAATTTCCAGTTCTCGTGAAACCGGCTGAAATTGCAAAGACCGAGGATAATATTGTGCATGAAATAAACAGTTATTCGCATAGAGGTAGAAACGACGGTACGGCCGATCCCGCTTTACGCCAATAAGACGGCGGCAGCACGAACGCTACAATTTAGGCCCCATAGATAACAAGCTATGGAGACTCCCCCCGACAACGCTATATCTTATAGCAATACCATATAGTTAGACTCTAAATAGCAAGAAACGGCCCTGTAAAACGTAGACCCCTAGGCGGTCGCCTGTCCGTGGTAGAAAGTCCTTTTTAACCCTTTTTCGTGCTATACTTTCGATGTATTCGCGGAATAAGAAGTCGAATAATTACATAGCGAAATAAGCGCGTTGTCGGTCTGGCAGTGTCCAATTACTATGTAATTTCAAGTCTCTAATCGCTACATAATCTCTGCCTCCAGTCGCAACGCTTTTCAATGGCGAAATTTCCATTTTTACATTAACGCGATGTGTATTAATTGCATTAACGTGACTCGCATCGGCCGAGGGATTCCGCTTCGGTGATTAATACAGCAAGATGTTATCGCCACAGGGGAAATAACTCTCCGTGACGTCATACACATCATTCGCGTGAAAAACAAAAGAAAAGGCACACGCGCGCTTTCGTGACGCTTCGATTGAAGTTATTTACGGAACACAGGATTACGTCAGATCATTTCAAAAAAAAAAAAAAAAAAGGAGGAAACGCCATCCCGTCGGTCGCGTATAATGCGGACAATTCCCGGCTGACGTGGCAGCTGCGTAACGAGCCCGCGGCGTTAACTCGTGCCATTAATTAGCCCGCGCAATTAATTAACAGCGATTTGGACTTAAAGCCGCCGGCGGAGTATAACCGAGGACACTCGGGGCATAGCACCGAAAGGATTAAACGCTCTTAGTTCGCCGGCATGTAGCATAGCGCTTGGCTTGCATTCCAGAGCCCTCCGACATCCCCCCGCTCAGCCTTAGCAGCCGCGCCACCCTTAGGGTTAGCGGCGAGCCAGCAATCGAGTTCCAGCAACAACGCCGAGAGGCAGCAGCCGCCGCGGCCGGAGTCGCGCAGCGACAGTTTCGCGCGCGCGGACGCGTTGCTGCGCGAGCACCAGCGTCAGCATCAGCTGTCCCAGCCCAGCAACAACGTCAGTAACGATCACACCGCGGAGCGGAAGCAGACGGCCTCGAGTACTCCGGAGTACGCGACGCCGAGTCGGAGCGCGCGGCCCGAGTCGAGAAGCCGCGTCGTCGCTGCTTACCAGAGCGTCAGAAGTTACAGCTCGGCCAGCAGCAACGATCAGATGGACGGCGGATTGTTGGCGGTGGTCGATCAGCCTGACCCTCTCGTGAGCCTCATTCAGTCTCTAGCCGAGATCACGCCGATTCGCGCGCCTCCCAGCACGTCTAAGACCGAGAACGAGCATCCCGCCGTCGCCGCCACCGCCGACGCACTCGCGTCCGCTCCAATGCCCGCCAGTGTGCCTAGCAATGTCATTAATAGCTCCCCTAACCAGTCGCCAAAAGCATGGCAGAATTGCACCCAGGTTTGTCTCACCCTCACACGCTCGGACTTCACCACCACCCCCTGGTAACCGTGCGTTTCATAACAAAAGCACTCGCCTTGGTCTTTTTTTTTTTCTCTTTATGATGCGCGTTGCTGATGATTCTGGATTAGTCGACGATGCAGTCGGTGAGCGACGAAATCTGTTTCTTGCAATGACAACGGAGATTGTACGTTCGTGCAAATTTATTGGGTTGTTCGACAAGCGAGGACCTCCTTGTGCGGATCTCTTTACGGAAAACTCAAAGGCGACACTCCATAGTCAGGCGCAGCTTGATTTTTCTCGCTTTTCTCGATGACCTTCTGGCCGTCGAAAAAAAATGATCATATATTATCGGATAGAGTTATGCCTAAATGTCGGCCTTAAACACCTCGCAAAAATCCGCAAGAACTTATCGAACGACCCGATGTATTGTCGTTGATAATCTTTGATCTGACGTATTTTCCCATCAATAATAGAAAATATGGGGACAGATTCGCCATGTTGCATCGCAACTATCTTATAATTCGGTATTTTATCAGAGGTAATTTATCAGAACTGTCGGTTTCTTCGATTTAATCGGACAAAATGAGCGATCGTGCGAATCGATTGTGTTTCTGTGTCGCCGCTAATTGAGAATTCAATATTAGTTTCGACGTGTCAAGCTTGCCCGATACGCCTCGCTTGGCTGGTAGCGCATAGACCGTCTTAGCAAACAACGATGTGTGTGTCTCGCACGCGACTAATCGATGTCTCTCGTAATTCCGTCACACCCCGCCGAGTGCCTTCGGACGGACGGTACGTTAGCAATAATCGCCCCCGCGAATTCCGCAGCCGCACAATGACTCGGCGTCATCATGGACCGAGAGGAGCGTCAGTCCCGGAAGCGCGGTCGTCAGCGGTGCCTCGCGGCCGCAGACGCCGGCGTTTCCGGTCCATCCGCGGACGCCGTACGTTAACAACGCCTCACCGACAGTGACGTTCGCCAGCGATCGCACCTACATGACGTCCAACAACAGCTACAACGTCAACAACAACAACAATAATGTAAATAACGAGGCTGGCGGCAACAACAACAACAACGTCGGGAGTTACGGCGCCGAACGAACGATATATATCGAGGAACGAAGAGAAGCCTCGAAGGAGACGGGGCTTCCACCCAAGAGTCCGACAACACAGCGGTAGGTTCTGTTATTGTATTGTTAATTTTCATCCTCCCACCTCGAACGTCTAATCACACGAGACCGAAGAGTACGACCCCCTCAGAAATTTTACGTTAAAGTTGAGACATTTTAGAAGGAAAAGCACCGAAACCGACGTACGTATTTTGTTTATGAACTCCAAGCCTTGGGTGTGGAAAGTATAAAATTACAATTTATGTGCATAGATTCAAATCAGCAACACAAAAATATACTTCTCTATCCAAATATATGATAGTCTTATGAAAATTATTACATATTTCCTTGCAAAGATTGATTTTTTAAGATGTTTGTGAAGATTGATCCAGTGAACAGCAACCAACAGTAACATAACATCAATGTTGCAATTTCCCACTCAATAATGTAAATACAATATAACGCACGTGTTACATAATAATTACATTGTTGAGTGGAAAATTATAACACTGATGTTATGTTGCTGATGTTAGTTGATGTTTACTGAGTGACGCTTTTAGAAACTAGACCCCAAAGTGGACATATCCCTGATACTTATAAGAAATAAAAAATAACACCGGAATTACATTATTTTGCACATTTATTATATATTCCTATATATCTGTATCAGTTTTGGCGCCTTTCTGTATTTATAGGATACGCACATGCTTGTAAAATCAACCCAGGACTTATGTCAAATGTCACCGTATGTGAATAATTTTCAATTATTTTCTGTAAACGAAATCTTACGGAAAGAGATATAAGAATTTCTGTGGATTATTCTGTGACATTCTCACATTGAATATTGGAGATTGTTTTTTATATGTGGTCGCCACAGTGATGGAATATTGTGCACACCTGACGCTTGGTGTTCGGCAAATTTTTCAAAAATGTCACGTACAAGAGCGACGCGAATGATTTACCCTCGAACACGATGGAGGACCACAGAGCGACGGTGATGATGACGCAGAATGATATTCGTGATTCTAGACGCTTGAGTTTCCCGGCAAGCGGGCCGCTTAAACAAACGCATAACAAACGATGGCCGCTCACTAATCAATCGGCGTCGTTCGACTATAGGTAATATATATACAACACACGAAGAATCGCGCGAGCTGCTGATTTCTGTTAATTGAACATGCAATTAAGCTGCGAGTTAATCACAGCGGCGAGCAGCGTTGCGATCCAAATGTGCACCGTGAATGTTTTGTGTCATGTTACTAACCGCGCGTGCCGACACGCTCGGAATGCAGCTGTGTATCATATCACACGGATGATCGATCGTTCTTCACGCTGATACGCCGTACAGAAACAAACCTCTTTAAGCAGTACTTCCCCCTCTCACATTTCAGATAACATCGTGTAACATCTGACCTCATCGTCTTTCTCTGCGTTCTTGCACACACAGCAAAATACATACTGCATTCAAGTGAATGTTATTTGTTTCAAGTGTTTCATAAGTGTACATAACCGCAAATATATATCACAAGTTCATCATAAGCATCAAATTTATTCAAAATATATTCTAATAAGTAATAATTCTAGTAAGTTTTATATTTCAATCAAAAATATTAAGTTAAAACAAACTTCGGTTTGCTTATTCCGAAATTAACTAAATTTACCTTTTCTTCGATAAAGTTTAATATAATATTAATACATAATATAATGTAAAATTCTTGAAAATAATATAAATAATAATATTCTTAAAAGGATAATAAATTCTTATTTTCAGTACGTAAAAATAAGCTTTTCTCAAATTTGTAATGAGTATATTTTAAGACTTTTTCTATATCGAGAGAAGATATTTTTCGTTGAAGGTAATTATTATTTAAAAGAAGAAAAGTAAACTGAGTGATCGCTTTCTTTTCTTAGCAGTAGAATGACATTCTTCTCTGTGCGCCATTGATGTTTCTGTTATTGCAGCGAATTGCGAACGCTCATCGTAATCCATGAGAAAAGAAATTCCACAACTTATTATGAGTGATCGATTCAATTGTTATCTCATTTTTGTACGATAGCAATGAGAAAAATTAGCACATCGTATCATACGAATGTGATGCTGAAAGTAAACCTCGGCCACGCGTGTGTGTGTGTGTTGCACCTTCGAACTAACAAGAATTCGCGCTTCCTTGCATCGTGTGCCTTAGAAACCACTTAAACGGCGAGTACACGTGTATCACAACGAAGTAGACTGACTGCAATCGCTGAGAAATCGAAATAACACCTTCGCCATCGTCATCGGGAAATCCCGAGAAGAGAGACCCCTTTTCTGTGTGCTCCATCTTCCCGCTTCTCGCCGGAGGCGACTGACCTATTTAACATTAGAGATGCTCCTTCCGCCTACCAGACTCTCCTCCGCGATTGTGTGTACCACCCTTGTTTCCGGTGTTTTCCTCACGATGTACAGCACTATATGCACGAGTCAGCCAACAAACACACACAATCTGCCTGCACGGAAAACGACGGTGCATTCTCGCGGAATATTTTCTAACATTGCGCACGGTTGCTCGTTTTGCAGCAAGGACCGACCTGTTTCTCCGGTAAGCGAATCGACGATGTCGCAGCCGCAGGCTGTTTCGCGCAGCCCTGGAACACCGACCCACGCTGAATTCGCCCAAAGCCCCAAGGTGAGTGCGATATTATTTTACATATTTCACTGCTTACGCCGCTGTACCAACATCCTCGGCCTAACCCATTACCTCCCTGCCAAAACTACAGTAAATTAATAACGAACAAACTGCAGCACATAATAAAATACTATAGCGGTAATAAAATTAATTCAAATTTAATTAATTGAAAAACTGCAGTAATAATAAAATAAGCAATAATAATAGAATAAATAACAGCAAAATAATACATGATAAATAGCAAGATAAACAAATTATAATATATTCGACATAATTTATAGTTAACTTATTTATAGATAATTGCACGAATTATAAATGATTTATAATTAAGCGTTAAAATTTTAAGCTCAACTCGGCACACTGTTTTCTCACCGTTGAATTTCCACTTTAGAGAATATTCTAAAAATATATGCGTTGATCATTAATAAAAGATAGGTCTGTCAGTCACGTCAGATATAGTATGTTACACGCGGAGAGATGTATTCGAGCGCTGTTTCTTCTGCAGAGTGCTACGTCTTACACTTCGATCAACAGCGGCGGCCAATCTTCGCCACAGGTGCAATATTATGGCTCAAGACGCTCCAGCGTCCATTCGAACACGGAGCCTCAGGAGGTAGCTGACGCTAATGTGAAATTCGTACGCGATACCAGTAGGATCTGGTACAAACCCAACATATCGCGGGAGCAAGGTAAATTCCAGGCCTGCGTATCCACATCTTTTTCTCGTTTTCTCCGTCCCAAGTTTCTCTTTTTCATTTTTATCCCGTTATTTTCATTTCGTTGGGATTTTTGCGAAGGGCGCTCAAGGTCGCTATTTTTATAATTGGACATAACTTTACTCAATAATATATTGATCGTTTTCTTCGATGACCTGCCATCGAAAGAAAACGAAAAACAATCAAGTTGTGCCTGACTATAAAAGAATCAGTTTTGAATTTTCCGTGAAAATTGCTACGATCGATCGAGAAAGCGATTATTTGAAATCACGATTGAAAATATAATGATTGCAACAATTTGCAAACTTTATATCTTTTATATTTTATATTTATATTTTATATTACACTTTATAAACCGCTTTATAATTTTTTAAATATTTAAGTAAAATTTTTTATACACGATTTTTTGTATCGAATAAAAATATGGTAAAATTTCTTTAGCAATCTCAATGCTGAAAGATGCGACACCCGGCACATTCGTGGTGCGGGACAGCAATTCGTTCCCGGGTGCCTTCGGGCTGGCCTTGAAAGTAGCGACGCCACCTCCAGGTGCGCCCAGCAGTCCACGGGACCCATCGAGCGAGCTCGTCAGGCATTTCCTGATCGAGCCCACGTCGCGCGGTGTCCGACTGAAAGGATGCGCGAACGAGCCGGTCTTTAGCTCTCTATCGGCGTTGGTTTACCAGCACAGCCTGATGGCCATGGCTCTGCCTTGCCAACTGCTGCTACCCGAGCCGGAAGCAGCCGCCAGAGCTTTAGATTCACCTGGTACTAATAGCACCCAGCAGCTTCTCGCTCAGGGAGCAGGTAACTAGTTTGCCACGAGGGAGATATTGTTGCGCAAAGCCAAATTAGGAGATTACATTAACTTTCCCGGAATCGAATTACGGCCTAAGCCTGCTCCTAGTTAATTCATTTTGCCCGCTATTCTCAATTAGAGCGATTAACTAGACAAAATGGAGGCAATCCAATTCCTACTGGATTGAAGCATTCCGTGCCTTAAGCGGAAGCTTACTTAGACGTCCCGGTTCGATTTGCGAGAATGCAGAAGTGGAAACATCCGTTTCTCTAATATCTCGAATGCGTTGCTTTTTTACAGCTTGTAACGTTTTGTACCTTTTCACAATCGACACGGAATCTTTAACCGGGCCGCAAGCCATCAAGAAAGCCATCACGAATCTATTCGAGCAGAAACCTCTGCCGATCGCTACAATCGTTCACTTCAAGGTCTCCACGCAAGGCATTACCTTGACCGACAACGCGAGAAAGTTATTCTTCCGCAGACATTACCCCACAAATAATATAAGTTACTGCGGCTTGGATACCGAGGAACGTACGTGGGAATTCGCCAGCGAAGATACTGGGAGACCTCTTAGCGCCCAGTACGTGTGTTTTTAGATGCTATATTTATTTCAATTAAAAAATAATATATTTTTGTGATGCAAGAAAGTAAAATTGAAATAAAATTGAAATTAAATTTAAAATTGAACTTGAAAATTAAATTAAATGATTTCCCGATATTCACGTGAATATATAGTAATTGAGAATTTCTGTCTTATAATTTTTCCTGGAATTGCTCAAGCCGGGGATGTGTAATCTCGAAACTATTTTTATCGCGTCGACATTTTCCATCGAGATATCCGGATAGAAGAAATTGTCAGAAATTACAATATCTGTTCTGAGTTTAAATCTGATTCGCTTATCATACTTTTCTTTGCAGTCGCTGCTTTGGTTTCGTTGCGAGAAAACCCGCTCACAAATCGGACAATCAGTGCCACGTGTTCGCCGAGCTGGAACCAGAACAACCGGCCACAGCCATCGTGAATTTCGTCAACAAGGTCATGATGGGAAATTCCATCGTCAAGGCCAACATTGTCTAAGATCCGCTAAGATCCATCACGAATGCCAAAACTAACGGGCACAAACATCATCGAGAAAGTTCCATCAGTAATGGTTCCGCCTTCAAGGTTAACACCGACACATATCCTTAGGAGAGAAAAAGAGAAAGAAGAATGCAATTACCAGTTGGAGAGCGATCGAGAGGCCGAAGATAATGGAAGGAATGATCGATATGATCGACTGACAAGATCGGTTATTCCGCCGACACGCGGAGAACGCGCGCGGATTCTTCGGAAAGATCCGACGGCTGGACGAATTAATCATTATCGTTAGCCGACTACACGTAATAGGTCTTCGTGCATTTCGTAGTGTCGAATCAGTAGAACATTCATGTTGTAAACAGTAGGGACGACATAATTATCGCGGAAACGCCGGGAAAAGATCGAGGATCGCTCTCTTCGTAAGAGAATGTGCGAAGGAGCACGAGGGGCGATGCGTGAATCGATTCCATCCTCGCGTCAATATGCAGTCAAGATGAGAAAGTTGTTGTTATGATTATCGTTACTGTTGCGATTTAACGTAGCGAATAGTAGAGTAATAAACGGAAGAAGACTCTAAGGGAGGTAAGATGGTTGTCGAATGATTGTGTCGCCGAATCGGTATTTGATTTTCACGATAACTTTTCTTCACAACGATCCAATCGTTCGCTGCGTTTCTCTCTCATTGTAACTCGTTGTTTAACGTATCTTATGAATTAGCACGCTCTTTAACCGTCTACTATTTAGCTGTATTGTCGAAGCTGCTCGAAGGGAAATCGTATTTCTTCCGATTATATCTTTGTAAAATACATTCGAACGATACTAATGTCTTCGCTCCTTTCAAGGCATTTTTCGCGCGGAACATTCACTGTGTTTTGTAATTTAGCCATCTTCCCCCGCTTAGGATACGATTGGTCGCTCGATCAGCCGCACGCGAATTTACCGATAGCTCGTAGTCATAGTTGAAGAGTATCAACCGTGCCCTTCGCACGAACTACGAAGGGCATCGTGCATTCGAAACGAGCGTATCTCGCGCGACAACTGAGTGCGACCTCCGTTTCGGAAACCATCTACGCACCGCGCACGTATAAACACAAAACATACTTATTACACTGTTACACGTACCGCACACACGTAACTATCACGCGGAAGATAACCAAGTCGGTGCTCGCGCGTTAATCGATCGGCAGAACTTCACTTATGCCTTTTAGTTTCTACAGAATTTCTCTGTTCCCGCACTTGAAGAATGTTTCTCTTGGCTTCGGAGGACTGATGACGACAAGCGGATAAAAGTCACGCAATTGCGAAATCCATGAAAAAAATGAAAGTATCACGAAAGTCGGTCTTTGAACAGGCTTGAGCGAAGTTCGAGTGACGAATAGATCGTTAAATAACGCGAGAGCATCTTAGATCCATATATTATCACGTTATACTTGAGACTCTCGAGTAATGTTTGACAGAGAATATTACGTCGTTTGCAGAGCGTATTATGTATACACGTATACATCCCACAGACATACATACGCATAAAAACGTATACACACACACAGACACACACACACATACATTAGATATCCCCGTGTCATGCCCCCTCGATGTACGAAAGGACGACGTTATAAATAACTGTAAATATGCCGTGTCGCGGGATAAAGTCGCCTTAAAAGGAGGCCTTGAGGAGACACCTTGAGGAAGATCGTCGGACTGCGCGAGCGGTCTGCGACTCACGGAAAAAGCAATGTTACGTTATAGGAGATCAGTTCGGAGAGGTTACGCAGGTGTGTGAGAGTCGAGGGAAATGCTACTCGAGGAGGAGTATGCACGTGACGAACAGCATCGCGCGTATTCTTTCGGCGAACCCGTAGATTCTTGCCATTTCGGGCTCGTGTGCCGTCGAGACCACGGTCCCCGGTGAGCCCGTCTCGACGGGCACGACGATGAGCAGTCAATTATTACGATCGAATCAATTACATTGTAATTACGACAATACGGCGGCGTGAGGAGGCCAACCGGTGCGCGGTAGCAGCCGGTCTTCCTCTCGATACCTACCGTCGATTCTTCTTCGTCTATTTTCGCGTTCTCTTCTACTTTTGTCTTCCGGACGAAGGTCGGTCGGGACTTCGGCGATTCTTCCGCTTTGCGAGCTCCTCCAACTGATTATACGAGGGAGGACTCGCGATTACGCAACGTGCTAGTCAAAATTCGTGCTGTATATTCGATGGTCAAGGAGTAGATCAACGTTGGTCCTGACGGCCCGTTCTGGGCGCCGGTTCTTGGCGACTTTTCACAACGGCGAGCGTGAGATACGTTTTATAACTCGCGCTAGGTGTGTGAGATGAACGTGGCGTGTTACCTTGAAGACGACGGGCTTGAAACGTGAGCCGCAGGTATGAACCGGAAACCGTTGAAAGGATTTAGGGCTCGCTTGAGAGACCCGACCGTGTCTTCCTTTGCGTTCTTTCTTCTCTTCGTCCCCCATCTGTCCTTTCTTCTCCGTGAATTTCCTTTCGTACGCGCCCAAATCCGACTAACAGCGTAATATTAATTTAACATTCAGTCATTATAATAATTATTATTAATATTATTATTTGTTTACGCTCTATTACTCCCCGTACGTTCACGCAATAATGTATCGTTGCGTGCCGCATGGGTACGCGCGTATAGTTGTAACAACAATAAATCCATATTCACAGTGAATCTTAGTCGCATTATTTATTCGACCATGTCGAACCACTTCTGTAATAAAGTTTCAGAAGTTTTGAAAAAGAGTTACAAGGAATAAAAAAGGAAAAGTGAGAAAAAATTTCAAATTTAAAATGTAATAAAAAATATTTTATCAACATAGAACGATTTTAGAATTGAATAATTATAAATTTAATTAAAGGAACGCAGACAGCACAAGCTTCTAAAAGATACCTTACAGTCGTCCCCAAAAGACATCCGATGTTTTCCAGACATCTTTAAGACGTCTTTTAGAAGCTTGTGCGGTCTGGGAATTTTCAAAGATATCGATGTCCAATATCAGCAACATGGAAACTCTGATAAGCTTCACGTCTGTCGTTAACATGACTCAATGTTTATGTTTGCATTGCAAGATTTTTTTTTATACGTAGAATACGTTGAATACTGCGAAGCAATCAATTTATGCAAACACATTCGGAAACATGGGAATTATAGATCTAGATTTTTTTTTACATATATAAATAACAAAATTCACATTTTTATATATCATTAATTATTCCCATTACATATTTACCGATGAGTTTGGCATTTCGTTTTTTTTATTCTTTAGTTACTATTAAAATATAATGAACGTTTATCGATATTATGATTAATTCTCGTGTTCACTCTGGGCACTTGTATCGACCTCCATTGCTTCAGATGGGGTTTCCAAACTTTTCTTGAACTCTCGAATGTACTTGAGTAATCGTTTGTCAGAATCTTTTATCTGTTAGAGATATAAGTGTAAATTAGAATTAACATATATGCAGTAAATATCATTATTTTAATTCGATGCTAATATTTTAAATAGCAAAATTAATTTGTTGCTCTAATTCCACTTAGTATATTTAATTTTTCGAGTAGAATTTATATACAGGATGCTCATCAATAGTAATGGAAAAAGTTCCAGATATAATGAATCAGTTTGTAAATGGCCATAAAAATTTCGAAATAATAAAAATTTCGAAATAAAAAATTACAAACAATAAAAATTCGTAACAATAAAAATTTCGAGAGTTATTTTTCTGCAAAATAATCTACAAAATAAGGTTAATTCAGAAATATATTGTAAAACGGTGTTCTTTGAGTAAAAAATGCACAATATGGTGTTTATCGTATAACAGTATTTATGATTTTTTTTCACCAGTTATGATTGGACAGCAAAATGTTCTAGAGGGCTATTCAACAATTACATCACATTACGAAGGAAAAGATCTACTTCCTGTACTTGACTTGTAATAAGCAAAACCTTTTTGTTAGTAACTTAAAAAATAAGTTTCAGGCAAAATTTTGCAAGATGAGATGTCTCAGAATTTAATGTCTAAGGATTTTATATTTTCAAGGATAAAAGGTTGTTATTTTGCAGAATCGATCAAAAGCAACAAGGTGACCTTAATTTTTTTACAAAAAAAAAAAGACCACTTTCGAAAGTTTTGTTTGTTGCATCTAATTGCGTTTATAAATTGATTAATTGAATTTAGAACTTTTTGCTCTTTAATCATTATAATTGGTGAAAAATGTTGGGCATTGTTACGATGAACAATTTGTATCCAAAGGACACCACCTCGTATGAATTACATATCTCTGAATTACTATTTAGAAATATAGCAACATTTTTATTAGATAAGCGATATGTAATAATTACTAACAATAACTTCGTAATTCACAATCATCAAAAAGATTCGATGATACGAAAAACGCTACAAGTAATGACATACCGTATCTGTAACTTTTTCGATGGCTTCCAGCAGATTCTCCTTCGACGGATCGTCCTCGATTTTTATATGCAAAATCGTCAAAGATTTGATGAGAGTCTCCTGATCTATATTGCTGGCAGGATTCAAGATTTCAGCTAATATATCGAACGCCAGATTATTCTGCGTGTAGAACGTTTGTTCGCCGGACTTCTGGCAGCTTCGTCTGATTAAACTCAGTATAAATCTGGACACGTGATATACATCGACCTCTTGCAGAGGACTGATCTCGGGCGCGTTACAAAGAACTCGCAAAGTCGGGAAGTACGCATTCTCGAGCATCTCCAGCGCATCGGGCACACGCACCACAAAGTGATCGAAAAAAGCGCATAGACACTGCCGTAGATAAATGTCATCGGCATTAGCTGGATTATAACATAAAATTATCAAGCGCGATACCAAGTTACTGCTATTGATCCGTCGATTGAGCAGTAGTTTGCAGAGACCTTCCGCGGCGATGGTGCGTAGTTCTTGATTCTACAAATTTTCCAAGGATAAGATTATCGAGTGAAAAATTTCTTATGCGATTATAACAAAATTCAACTAAGCTAATGTTACTATACCACGTTGTCTAGCAATCCTGTTAATATCTTGACGAAATTGCAACTGCTCTCCTCTGTTTCACTTCGTTCGTTGTTCAAAGAGACGATACTGTCCTCGTGTGTATACAGCGTGCGGGTCTTCTGAACTTTATCCTCAGAGTCCTGCAAGATTTGGAAATACTCCAAACCGTAAAGGAGCAAGAGATCGAATATCCCCTTCAAAGCAATTATCCATATGTCTGGATTCTCTTGCTCTGCGGAGAACTGATAGAAGAATATCATGATATGTTTCTTCGCCATTTCTTTGTCTAAAATGCAGTACAGACCTAACGCCTTTAGTGCTAACACATGTACATTATCGTCGGGATGCTGAAAAGACAATTTACCGCGTTAAATAATTATATATAAAAAAAAGGATCGAAAGACGATTCATGTATTCACTTACATCAAGGCTGTCCAACACGATGGACATCATAGTCCTGAGTGTAGGTGTCAATGCGCGAATGGACTGAACTTGCATCGCGGCGCACAAAATGCCGAGGCACTTCGTCATCGTTACTGCATCGTTCTTCTCGTCGCGAATATCGTCGGTTATTATTGCCTCAGGGACCTTAGACAGTTGGCTTATCTTCTCTTTCACGATTTTAATCTGTTCTTTTATGATGTCTGCTTTCAAATAGTCCTCCTTCTTAACTGTTTCATACAATTCCTCCTCGAGCTCTAACAAGTCGACCTTCAATTGCGCTTTCTAGAAGCGAGCGAAGAAAAGGAAATTAGACGAATTTATCTGTACAGCAATGTCGAATTCATCAGCAAGCTTTTACACACACCTGCACCTCATTATTCTGTTGGTCTTCGAAAACCTGTTGAGTGGGCACACTTGCCTTCAAAGGTAGTCTGATCTCGCTAATAATGTTAGCTACTAAATCCAACATACTACTGATATTCGGCACTACCTTACCCAGGTAACACACTGTACATTCAATTATCTCATTGGAGCAATGATCGCTCATAAGAGTGTCCGTTATCACTTCCTGTAGATTCTTCCTTCCTACTTCGTCCGAAAGATCATACTTTTCAGCTATCTTGAAGAGTTGTAGAAGGATAAATTTATGACACTGCTTTTCCCATTCTTCGTATTGCTTTGACGATATAAAAATGATAAATTCGCGTATGTAGTTACAAAAACCGGATAATTCTGGGATGATTAAATCTAATTCTTCCATATACGACGATTGATAGAAATGATCTATCACACACTTCCAATATAAGACATTTTCGTTCGACAAAGTGGTCAGAGGAATTAATCTTGTATTTTTATCTACTGGTACTTGCTCTAACAAGGTTTTCGAATCAGCGTTTCTGAAAAATAATAATATTTAATAGATATAGAATTTTAATTAACAATACCGATTGCTAGACATCTGAATATTTGCTTATTAAACTGGATGTTCGAGTTTTTCGAGTACTTCCTGGATACTTGGTTATTTGAAAAATTACAGGAATATCATATAGAGCAGGTAGTCTTTTGGAAAAATAAAGAAAAACATACGAAATAAAATCAACTAGTGCAAAAGCAACTATTACAATAATTAATAACAATTGACGAATAAATATTAACAGATTATTACTTGCAATTTTCAAATATCCAACTAGCAAGTTCACATGAATGTGAATACCAGATATTTAGCGTCAATTTTAACATATAGAATTTTCCTTCATTAGTTTTACTTAATCTTTTTATAATACTTACGTAAATAATGTTTGTAAAGCTAGAGCTGCAGTTTCTGTTCCTATTCCAGCATCCAGTGCATGTATAAGATTTATATATTCTCCTTTATAGTATCGTAACCACATTGGTAATAAAACCTTGCATACACATGCTTTGACACTTTCCGATCTGTCTTTGAGACCATCTTTTAGCAAGCGTTCTCTTTGTTCAATTGTTAAGGAACGCACTGTAATTTTGCTGATAAATTCATATGCCATCTTGCGCACAGAATCATCAATATCACGTGTTCTTTTCAATGCAGCTTGCAAGGTTCTCTGATTCTTGCCTATAGTCGCAAGAACCGCTCTACGAACTTCAGCCTTTGGATCTTTAGATAGATGAAACAGATACATCCTTATTATAGGACACTCATCATCAGATGGATCTTGTAGTCTATGCAAGGCAAAAACAGCTTGTGCTCTAACTTTAGGAGATTTGTCCAGTAGTCGATCCATCATGCTGACTGTAATTTGATCACACAAGCTGTCGTCCATGAAAGCATTATCACCCATCGAGTTTAAGAGCATATTTAAAAAATGACATATGCGATATCTTACTGCCTTGTCTTTAGCATTATGACTTGACAAAAGGAATGTAAACAATTTGTTGAGAAATGGAGACATTGATTCTGTAGTTTCGTTCTCTGCGCACGAATAAAATCTCATGGAAAATTTGGCACAAAATTCCAATGTATTTATAATACGTGGATGCTGTTGAGCCATTGTGAGAGGTACTTTCAGGCACGAGAGGAAACATTCCCAGAATACATCTAATTTAGTCTAAAAGAATAATAAGATGGTACAAGTCAAATTTAGTTGAAAATATTATTAATATTTGTTTTCATAAAATATGTACTGGAGCAAGACGGGAAGTTGGTTTGCACCACTATATGTATGCTCCCTCTTTTCTCCGAGTGAATTTTGTAAAGCGTTATAAATACTTGTAAAGCATTATAATGTACATATAAAATATTTATATAGAATTACTTCAATGACAACTATATATTTTGAAAAGAAGGAAAAGAAGAAAATTAGAATTATAAAATTCACTTCATGAAGAACGCAATGTAATTCTGACTTACTTTGTCATATAGTTTATTAAGTTTCTTCATATATCGTGAGTGGTCCGTTTTGTTAAACTGTACATTGAAGAATATTTTTTTCATACTATTCTCTAACGCACATGCCATAATTGTTTTTAATATAGAAATAAGTAGTTTAATACAGAATATACAATTGTGTAGAACATTTCATGCACAGCCGTGACTACCGTACGTTGAAGTTTTAAACCGACGTTAACAAAGACGCGCTGGGTGCGTTCGGGAAGACACAATTAGCGTTATAAACGCACGCTACTAGGTTGCGTTCGGGAATTACACAAGTGGTGTGTTTTCGTGGTTGCGAATGGTTGATGTCTAGTGGTGCGCACATAGTTTCCAATAGAAGAATTTTCTAGAGAAAGACCAAAATACTGCTAGCTAGGAATCCTAAAAAGTGAAATTTACTGGATATCGGATTGTTGTACAGTCAGAATATTTGTGATTTTTTTTGATAAATTTCGGAACGCATCCTTTGTCCAAATAGAATTTATTGCTTAGTTATTTTAAGCCCTGCACACAATGTAAATATATTAGGAATAAATATTAAATATTAAAGTCCTGCGCACACATTGGAAATATATTAAGAATAAATATTAAATATTAAGAATAAGAGATTAGAAGAGAATTGGACGCCTTATGTTTGTTTCTACCAACATGATTTAAATCTAATCGACGGTTAACTCAACAGAATTGACCAGTCGTATTAATCAGTCAACTGGCCAATGCGAAAGAAGAACAAAGATTTCTTTATTATGATTGGTCCATTAAAAACACCCTACTCTTAAACCGATTTTCATAGTCAGATCTTATATTTTAAGACCGTTTAAATTCATCTTCAGATGCTGTATGGATCATTTCATTAGCTATGGAGTATCTAAAGTTAAACTTAAGACAGTAATCTTCGGTATAAGATTCGACTATGAATATTGTACCGGCCTTAGTGTGATACTTAGTTTCGAACGCAGCTTAGGCCGATATTTTCGTTAGTTCTAGAGGCCTCCGCTACGAGCCTCCACTGAATGACAGGGATGCCATCGCATTACCAATGAGCGCTTTCCACTAAATTATCCCGAAGTAAAATGTAGCCAATGAAATGATCCTTCCTGGCGAGACATCCCTTATCCGTTGCTGACCCTGCATCCTGGCGCCTCCGTCTATATTCCATCGCAGTTCATTCGTGATGACGGTGTTCGACGGTGGTCGAGTCTTTTATTGCGTATCGTTAGACGCGTTATAGAGTGTATAGAAAACGTCGGTCGACAAAACGAGAGTGTAGAAAACGATATTTGTGAGTTTCGTTCCGTTGTTTTAGCTTACGTACACCCGTGAAAAAGGCACGCTCTCTACGGCCGTACCTGCGGTAATTCCGGCAGCGAAGTCGCGGACGACCCGCCAGTCGCGGGCGGCCATTTTGTAAGCGATTCTGATTTTTGATTCCACGCTATGGCAGAGGCCGAGGCGTTGTCGCAGAAAAAGCAGCAGCCGTTTCACCAGCAACAACTCGGAGCAGGCCCGATGGCGAACATGACGTGGCAATATGCGTCTCCGAACAACATGCACATGTTCCCTCCGTACGGCGGGTAAGTCCCGTTTCCGTTGTCCTGTCATCAGGCTCCTCCACCTTCGCATTCCTTCCCCCCCCCTCCCACTATATTTTTCTGGGACACAACCTGATTTCCGTGAAAGAATTACCCACTCAAGTAATCGATGTGTGTGTGCGAACACATCTCAATGAAATTTTGTTATCGGACCCGCATTCTCGATCCCTTAGTCAATAAGCTTCACGATTCATTCTTAGGTTACTCATCTATCTCACACAGCGGACGCCATTACACCGTCCGAGCGAGTCCACCATTTCGACATAAGGCACGAGGGCTCCATGTCGCTCGAAATTTGAGAGTTTGCGCTCGCCTCGCTGAGTTAGCGTCGTGAATTTTTTAACATGAACTCGCATCTTTCTACGATTGCGTCACAAATGAACCATGTCTATACCTTGTAATAATGTAGCTTCGTTGAGACATTAATTATCAGGTGTCAATCCCTTTTTTTTTTTTGGTCGAAGCATCTGAAGAACGCTCAGTCGTAAAAAAGTTGTCGCATCCTTTGTTTCGACGACTCTCAGAGTACATTGGCCATGTTCAGCGAAACCGTTTATTTCGCAATTTTTTGTTGGAAATTAAGCCGAGCCGAGATTGGATTATTCCTTTGAATTTAGGCGAATGATTCAATCTCGACGCAGAAGAGTTCCAAAAATTGTAAAAAAAAACGTTCTGCTAGATGCGACTATTCAGTTGAACATGTTCGAGCACAGTTCGTACTGAACAAATCTTAGAGATTAAAATTATATACATAGAATTAACTGAGTATGTTAGTCATCCCATAAGTAAATAGTAGAATGTCGAAATCTTTAGAGTTTTGTAAAAATATAATTGAAAAATTAGTGGTGAAATAGCGAAACATACTGAAACTTTAAATGGTAGAAATTTTTTTTATCAAGCCTGAATATTTCTTCTTTCTTTATCTGTAGTTGAGAACATGCAATTATATGTAGGACGGCCAATATATTCATCCATTGTAGAATAAACTTTAGAACTGTTCTTAAAACCAAAGTATACACATACAATTTTCGTCGTTATCGATATTTATGTAACACATATCAAAAAGTCCATAATTTTAACAATCTTCTGTTTTCTTTTCAGACACATGTATGGTCCTGGATATCAAGGTGTGCCACACCAAGGACAGATGTTTAATTATTATCACTCGATGATGCCAGGATATGGTCAGCCTTTTAATCCACAGCAAATGCAGCAGCAGCAACAACAGCAGCAGCAGCAGCAACAACAGCAGCAACAGCAGAGTAACAATCAAACAAAACAACAGTTGCATCAACAACCTCCCATACCTGGAACCCCGATAGCCCTAGATGACGATTCCGATCTTCCCCCGTTGCCACCCGGTCCACCGCCGGCAATTCAACCGACTCAGCAGCAGCAGAATAATCATCCACAGCAGTCGATGCCTTTCCAAGGAATCATGTACAACTCATTCCCCTATAACAATTGGAATATGCACAACGATACCTCTCGTGAGTACCATATTCTTTTACGATAAATGTAAATGTACAAAGATATTATTATGCGTTTATACCGTGGGACTTAAAATTGATTCAACCGAAGCAAATTGGATTAGTTTCGAAACAGTTGCCGTCGGTCTTTTGTTTCGACGGAACTGTTTCATCGTGGCAAATATCCCCCGCACTTGTTTGAAACAAAAAACTAACGACATTCTTAGAGCTTAAGCCAGCTTCACACGATATAAAGCGAATGTAGACGAACGTTGGCAATTATATCGATCACATATGTTGGGCGAATATAACATGCATAATACAACATACGTGATCGATATAATTGCCAACGTTTGCCTGAATTCGCCACATCATGTTTATATCGATCCGATTCGCCTCGGTCTACCTTATCGTATACACAATTTTCTCTGCTGCGAGAATTATTCGTTCAAATCTAAAGTTCTCTGATATTTTAGCGACACAAGCAAGGCTTACACACATTGTACACTTTTGTTTGTTAACGCATGTTATATGTAATTGATGTACATTCAACAAATGAATGCCCCTTTCTTCTCTTTAGAATACAACGGGCAGATACGTTTCAACTTGCCGAATAAGAAAACCGGCCTCGGGTACACGCCGTCCGGCAATAGTGGCGCCGCGAAGAAAAAGCGTAAGCGGAACAAAAATTTAGCAGCTCAATTCAACAATAGCTTTCAGGGAAACAACGCGACAAACGGATCTTTTATACCGATGCCTGTCGCGAAGCCGGCGGAACTGCCGCCTCTGCCGCCCGTGAAGTGCGAGGTGGTGGCGGCGCCACCGCCGCCTAGCGAGGAGCCGCCCGATAGCAAAGCACCGTCCAATACCACCGCTCCGACGGTACCCGCCAAAGTGACTCCCAGCGTCGGTAAACCGCCCGTCGCTACTCCTTCTGTAACAGTCGCCACTCCTAGCCCGGTCGGCGACTGGCCCGACAGTCTAAAAAACTACGTGAACCGATGTTACGAGAAGTGTAAGACGTCGTTTGACAAGGATCAGGTCGAGATCATATTGAAGGGCAAGATCACACGCGCTGCGAACGACGGCTCGCTCTGGGTGAAAGACTGGGACAAGGAACAACTGCCTCTTCTCCACAGCGAGAGTATGACTCTGCAGATCGCGAAGCCGCAGCTAAAGATGCCGACTCCTGTGGGGAGCCCATTGGTCCACTCACTAGTGAACGCACAGGGAGGCCTGCGCAAGCCCGGCCTTTCCATCTCGCTCGGGGCTCGGCTTGGCGCGCGTCTCTCTGTGACGCACAGCAGGCGGTCGAGGTCGCGGTCGAGATCTAGATCGAGGTCGAGGTCAAGATCCAAATCGAGGTCGCGATCCCGTTCGCGTTCTCGCTCACGTTCGCGCTCGCGCTCCAGGTCGACCCGTTCGCGAACACGTAGCCCGCCAGTTCGCCGGTACCGACGGAGCACGTCCTCCTCGTCGAATCTTAGCGATCGGGAACACGACTACAAGGCGTTGAAAATGAAAAAGTCCGCGCGCAGCAAGGCCAATCACGGCAGCAAGAAGACGAAGAAGACTAAGCAGGCTAAGTCACATTTCTATAGCGAGTTTGGTTTAACTACAGGCAACGCCGACGAGCTAGGCTCCAAGGAGAAGCTGCAGCAGCGCGCCGCCAGATTTAACAACGGCTCCTCCCGGACGATGAGCAGCAGTGTCATTAGAGACGATTCGGCGGACTTCGACTTCACTGGGCTCCACATCGTCGGCACGTGCAAGGATCTAGAGAAGCCTTACCTCCGTCTTACCTCGGTACGTGAGATTAGACCTCTAATAATGAGGTGGATTTTCAATGCATCCTAAAAAGTCGGGCTCGGACCCGACCCTATGCTCTCTTCACTTTTCATATAATCAAAATAAATAATAATATAAAACATTCCTTAAGGCTCTGGAATAGTCGCTGTGACTGTCCTTGTTTAATGACGTCAGAATATTCCGTAGCCTTAAGAAAAAGAAACAGCGTATACACGCTGTAAAATAAATGAAGCTATGGGTTCAATCTGATCCCACTTTACCGTAGAGAGTTACCTTGCTCTCTTCATCGAGATTTTATTTCGGGTTTGGTTTAATTTTAACGCGCAGACGGGAAGAAGAGCGTATTTTTTTGTTTTCAATTTTAAATGCGGAATTAGAAATTAGTAGTTTGGAATTTCGGATGCGATTAGAAATTGTAGATGTATCGTAGACATTTTTATGGATTCAGATGAAACTTCAGAATTTAAAAATTTTAGATGAAATTAGAAATTTGTAGCGTATTTTAGAAATGTGTGGACTTAGGTGAAATTATATGCTGAATTCATACATCAAGTGCTCACAGATTCTCTCTTGCTCATACGTCTCTTTAATTTTATGCAGGCTCCAGCTCCTTCTGCAGTTCGACCGGTAAGTGTACTTCAAAATTCTTTGGCCCATGTCAAGAAACGTTGGCTAGCCGAGCAGGACTACAGATACGCTTGCGATCAACTGAAATCCATCCGGCAAGATCTTACCGTCCAAGGTATTAGGGATGCATTTACGGTACACGTGTATGAAACACACGCCCGTGTAGCTTTAGAACGCGGCGATCACGAGGAATTCAATCAATGTCAAACGCAGCTGAAGATGCTGTATCAGGATGTCGGCGGCGAGAACCGATGCGAATTCGTCGCGTATCGAATACTCTACTACATCTTTACGAAGAATACTCAAGGTTAGTAGTGTGGAAGTTTGTAATTCAGATCTATCTCCTAGGCCAATATTCGATAGTTGATCCTCGAATAACAAGGTTCATGTAGTCACACATATTGTCGGATCCGACCAGTAGAAATATTCTGTAATTTCTTTCGACTCATTTTTCGATACTTTTTATTCTTACAATAAGTTAGAAAATATTTGAAAGCAAATAAAATAATATCGCAAAATATGTAAAATACCTGAAATATAACGTTTTAGAGGCGCATGCGCGGAGGTATTAGAATGAAAGTTCGATCGGATCCGACCTAATTTTGTTAGTCAAGGGTTAAGATCGTCTCAAGTTCATCTTTAGATACTGGACGGATCAATGTATCTAAAGATGAACTTAAGATGGTCTTAAATACAGGGTGTCCTAGAACCACTAAATGTCTTTAATAGATACTTTGGGATATTCCAAGACGAAAGTTCAAGTATGAAGATGGTGAGGCTGGAATAATTTTTAAATTATAAGCAATTAAAGTTAACTAATCATATGATTGGCTGGCGATGATAAGGATTCTGTCATGACCTAGCATAATCTATTGAAGAATCAACCATTGTCATATATTTAACGGAATCTTCAAATATTAAATCTAACATTGTTAACTAAAAATATACAATGCTTTTAAGTCTTGTTGCGGGAATACGTAAGACAATTTTGAGATCGTAAAGCATGAAAGTATCTAAGTTACTTCTGGCACTATATATATCTTTATAAAATATTTAATTAAAAATATTTAATGTTAAGGATATAACAGTAGTTCTGGAATACCCTGCATAAGATCTACGAATACCGGTCCTAGAATCCGACTATGCGACAGAGGAATCCTGAAATCTTTTTAATAACGACGATACTTTGAATTTCAGATTTAACAACAATTTTAGCAGCCCTGAAACCAGAGGATAAAGTCGACGAGTGCATACAGCACGCATTAAAAATACGCTCGGCGTGGTGGCTAGGCAATTTCCATGCTTTCTTCAAATTGTATAGGAAGGCACCGCGCATGTCCGCTTTCTTGATGGACTGGTTTGTCGCAAGGGAGCGAAAAGTGGCGTTGAAATTTATGATCAAATCGTACGTATTAAATTTCGCTTATCTATTAATACTTTCACAATTCTCTAAATATGTGCTTCAATTTGTTTCCCTTACTATGAACAGCTTTATTTCTTCTCAGAGTTGTACACTTTTTAAGATGATTGAACTTAGTTTCGTTTTAACCGTTAATTTTAATCCTCTCTTTTTTTTTCTTTATTCCGTTTGATCCGATTTTTGCGAACCGCATTCCTGACATTTTTCTCTCCTATTTCAAAATAATACTGTAAAAAGTGTACAATTTCTAACCTTTATTCCTAGCACGGAAATTGATTCTTTTCATTTGGGATGCATGGTTTGCTGTTTAAGAGAATTCTGGAGTCGTCCTGCTTACCGCAAATTTGTTAGTATTGTATTCGTTACTGATTGCACGAAATTAAATATCCTTTAGCACAATTATAATACATACGTTAATGTTGACGAGGACGATTAATTTTACTCGAAAACGAAAATGTTTTATAATTTGCTAACTTTTTTCGTTTTTCGAATAAAGTCAGTCGTTCTCGCCTATACATATTAACATATGTATTGTAATTGTGCCGAAGCATTTTTAATTTTGTGCAAATAACGAATATAGTACTAACAAATTTGCGATAAAACAAAACGACTCAAGGATCTTCTTAATGTTTGGCTCTCTCGGATAGTCATAATAGTTTTGTGACGTTATAGGTGAAATATGACATGCAGTTTCTTGTGGCATGTAGTTTTATTTTTTAATTTTCCCGAAAAAATATAATGGTTTGTAATCCCGAAACCTGTAAAATATGCATAAAACCGAAAAATTTTACCGATATGTCACGTAAAATCGTGAAACAATTCGAAAAATAATTCCTGAAATAATGGGTCATTTTTCAACCATGCTCAGCCGTAAAAACTGAGAAATGACCTGTTATTTTGGAAATTATTTTGCGCTTCTGCGTGATATCGGCCAGATGTCTCAGTTTTCTGCACATTTATATTTAAGTTTCAGGATTACGAAGCCATTATATGTCTTTTAGAGAAAACTCAAAAACTGCATGTCTCACCTATGACTATCACAAAACTAATATGGCTACTCGAGAGAGCCTTAATGATTTGAAATATTCCATCAAGAATTACGATTGACACAATTTCTTTGGCACCTTTGCGTTTACCTCACGAGAGAAAGTAAAAAAAAAAGTATTTTGTGAGTTGTATTTGATTACAATTTTTGTCGGAACGTAGAATCGAGAAAAGGTATTTCAAAATTGAATCGACGCTGTCTCACGCGTGATTAATCCAATTTTCTGTAGACATTTAGTCGAACGCAGTTCAATTGACCGCCAATGTTTTGAGCGCAAATGATGGATGTCCAATGGGGAAATTTGAGTCATGTGTTATAACTATGCAGATTTCTGTTACAGGACGTCGTAGCCGACAATTTTTCTATGATTGTTATATACTATTTCTTTCTGTTCTATATATATATATATGTACATGTACTTACCTCACATCACAATTGCTCATGCGTCTAACCATGCGGATTACCTAATCGTTTGCGTTTCTTCTGCTGTTTAGCTACAGGCAAAATTTGGCGGTTCATTTCGTCGTAGCGGAATTGGCCTTTGAGTCTTCGGACAAGTTTTATGAATTTGTCGGTGAGTTCGGCTTGGTTTACGCCGATCTCGCTCGACAGCTAATCGACTGCAAGGCGAGCAGTGCTAATCTAGTTGGTTGGTAGATGTCTGCGCCGCTCTACTCTTCTACCTTTCCCCCCGTGTGACGGAAGATTCACGTGTAACGCGAAAGAGAGAGAATGAGAGAGAGAAAACGAGAAAGGGAGTCGCATACTCGCAACACATGCTCACGTAAAGCCCAAAAAAAAAAGATAAAAAGAGGGGAAACCGAGAGAGCGCACTCCTCTTCGACGCAACATGCGCACGCGCTTTATGTGTATATGCATATGTTCTCCGACATACGTGGGCACCGTGTACGGCGCATATGCATATATATATGTGCCGCGCAGATGAACGTAGATATGTACTTCGTTTCCGCTGGTACGCGCGGCGTTTCCATCGATTTCTCTCGCTCCCGGAGACCTCACGCGTGCCGATTCCGCTTCGCAAACGATCGTCAAAGATCACGTCAACGTCCCATGGCGCGCACGTCTCTCCCATCGGCCGGGCGCCCGAATGTGTCGGAACTTCGGCTACAGTTCCGGCTGCGAATCCGATCAATTTGTACATAACACACACTCCTTCGTTTGGGCTCCTACACGCGTCTTGTACATAATCGCAAGAGGAGCAGGCGAATTTACTGCGTCAAGGGGGCTTCAGTTGTACAAAAAAAAGTAATAATATCAGGATGGACCGTTTCCGTTCATCCGGCGCTACCTCAGTGAAAAGAAAGGTCCCTCCCGAAACACGAGAGCGGGGAAGTACTCGGTACGATTGCGAGGATCGGATTTGCCAATGACGAAGCGCACGGTGCTCGAGGAGCGAGAAACACATTTCCCATTTCGTTCTTCTCGGCTCGACCACCGGGTCGTCGTTTTCGATTCTTTCCGGTCGCTCGTAGCGTCGCCAGCACGCACGCACGCTTTTACCGCCCAGGTGCATGCACGGTCGATTTTCCGAGTTTCTCTCGACCGTTTTTCACCCGGACCCAAGCAGTCTCGGATCCCCGGGCCGAGCTTCAAGAGATCAGAGGGAGGATTAAAAGACAAGGGGCGGCCTCTTCTCTTACGGAAGAGGAGCATGTTTCCAAGAGGACATTTCCGTTTCTACGCATTCGCACTCGAATTATGCGGGAAGGAGGAGATCCCGCGATGACTGCCCGTGATGATGCCGCTCGCACTCGTGGAAGGCGAAAGAATCGATAGGATCTTGGTCGGCATTGATAGGAATGAGTGGCCAAGTTTTTGGACGAAGTTCGAAGAAATCTGTTGGATTTTAGGGAGAAGCAGAAGGGGAAGAAGAGAGGGAGGAGGAAATGGGAACTTCGGCAAGATACCGTCGGCTCGTTTCGCGACACCGTCGACCCCCTCCCCTTGTGGACTTTTTAATTCAATTTCTACGTAGCGAGCAGGAGGCGTCGTGAGGGTCGACGGTAATCGCGGAAGACCGAGAATCGAGTGAATGGCCGTCGTTGTCGCGCGCCTCATGCGTGGTATACATGTCGTTATCGTCATCATCAATTCTCTCCCTACATTGCCGAGTGATCTATCGTACAATCTATTGGTTCGGTTCGCGAACAGTAAACTCCACTCGCGAGACGACGACGCTCTCGATGACGGAAAGTCGCTCGGTCTTTTTCCTCTTCTCGTTCCGATTTCTCGAGCGACCGAGAGAGAATGAAGGAGAGACGTCGTCGCTCTCGCTTCCGCCACGCGCCGTAGAACGCATGCATGATTCTACTGCGTGTGATCTTTACAGACTCGGCGGAACAGGGGAAGATCGATATTGTACAATACCTATTGGGATATAATATGTTGTGCATAATAAATTATTTAATTTTCTGACGTTGTACCATTTTTGTTGCGTCGTATTTTATATATATATATATATATGTATATATATATATATACACATATATATATATAGCGCACTCTTACAGGAGATATAGATTGCGACTCGTTTCTTCTTTTTTTCTTCTTTCCTTTTTTGGCTTCGTACCTCGCCACGACGATGCTACACACCGGTGTAATTAATTAAGTATATACGACGCTTTCGATCGATTGGTTTTTTCTCTACGTTTCGCATTTCATAAATCGCGACCGACGCGCGCTTGCGCACACCCGCCGCCATGCAATTTAATATACAGTTATAATTATATACCGATTCTCGCTGTATCGGTTGATAAAATAATTTAAATGTTAAATAATTTAACAATCCATGGTATATAACGTAGAACGTTTAAAGTATTTATATATATATATATATTTATATATATATTTATATAACAATAAACGAAAGCGTCACTTTCATCGTCGGTTCTCCCACCGTGTTAGACAATACTTAAGGCTCCTGGCTCGTCGCTACAGCCACATCGGGTCACGTCAGAAGCGGAAGATCAGAAGCGTGTGATTTTCTCTTGTAGCTCTTACACGTTGAAATAAACTAGCGTATTTTAATATGTCGATTATCTCCAAGCGCGTTCATTCAGATACATCGAAAATCCTTCTTCGATTCGCGAATTAACAGTTGTGTGAGTCTCAATCGGCTGCCGTAAAACATATCTTCGTATTCAAAATTTACGAAACGGTGCGAGTCGAATTGAGCTTCTTGGTAAAAACAAAACGAGTAATCTTCGATATACTTGATCGGCTTGTTCTGTCCCGGATAGTTCGTTCTGCGAAGCAAGACGATCTTTCGCTTCCGACGTTCTAGGAGCCTCGACGGCTTTCAAACGATTTAACGATGGACACGCACTTTTCCGAAAAATATGTATCGAAATCTAAAGAGCGGGACAATTTCCTCCTAAGAAATCACAATATTAAAATCCAAATATCGAGACTTGTGATGCCAATTTCACCGGAAACCCGGAACTGTCGCTGTGCAGTTGGCATCATCATATATATGCTGCATTATTCCTTAGATTGAAACTTTTCACCGTTACACAATTTTTCAGCTATGTTCGGAAATATCACACTGAGAATAGAGTGGCATTTAATTGGTCAATTAGTACAAAAAGAACTAAGATTTCTTTATTATAATTGGTCAATTAAATACCATTCTACCTTCAGCGTGCATTTCCGTGTCACACACACACACGTACGGTTGAAATTATTATAATTGGGATCATTATAACTCTACTAATTATAACTAAAGTTACTTCTGCGATGTTCAACCTCATGTATTGTATAAGACTGAAAATCGTATGATTCTCTGTATAAGAAACGGTATAGTATTTATGGCGCCAACTGTACAGCTGAGTGCATCTGGGTCTACTTATTTGAATACAATAAGAATGTAGATAAATTGGTAGATATTAATATAGCTGTGTATACACACAGTTGGCAGATTAAAGGTTGCAACACTTTCTCGAGGAAATTTTGCACAGTGTCTGCCATAAAGTTTGTCGACAACTTGTTAGAAGAAATAAAACAGAATCTGTCAAGAGAGTATGATGATAGATTGCAGAAACTGAGCAAGATCTGTCATTTTGTCTCCGTTTAAATGATGTATTTGAATGGAACATACTGCAGATCTTGATTGGTTGCTGCCGCCAATCTTCTGTCAAGTTATGTCAGCAGACTCTGTCGACAAAACACAAGCTTAAGACGGACACACAAAGTTATAAATCTGCCACGGTATTTTTATCGAATTTGCTGCCAATCTGCCGGCATATTAACATTTTGCTTATACTGGGTGTGTATATATATATATATTATTTTCGAAAAAATGATTCTTCCTTGAAACGATTGTACATTTAAAGGAAATTTATATTTTAGAGATATCATCTCGGATTTCGATATTATACATGACTGTTCGGGAAATCGCCCCAGTTTCCGAATTTCGAGATTGGACTTTTCGGGGCAATGCACGTCCACCGATTTAACATGACTCAATCTCGGGTCTAGTCTCCTCGCGCAATGACGCGATTGTTTTTACTTTCTTCGAGCCCGAGAGACTGCCGGACCGCGTCTCCGACGTTGGGTCGTAGTCTCGGTGTTCGAAACACCGTATCATCGGTAAATCATCAGTTTCACTCAAAGACCTCTACGATACACTCAGGACCTACACAACGTGCCATTAACCGGATTAACCCGTTAGCGCCCAGTGTTCTCGGGCGAAGAGAATGTCCCGACGAGTTCCTGAACCGGCTGGAACCCGTTCCCGTGACATTCTATTCGGCGTATGTCTGACGAGGTTCCCACTACGCGTACACCGCTCGGTATCGTTGGGTCGAGACATCTAAGCGGGAGTGGTCGTTGGAAAACTGCCTTCTCTCGATCGAGAGATCGAGAGATTCGGACGTTAACGGGTCGATAACTCGTCGTGCACGCGACGATCTCACACGTAGGAACGCGTTCGCGCGGAAGAGAGATCAACGTCGACGAGTTCGCGTGCACGAATCGGCGTCGAGTCGCGAACTACACAGTGCGTAAATAGCCTTACGGTATAATATTAACAGCGTCTCTCTAACGATACCGTGTCTCGTATGTATGTATGTGTGTGTGTATGTGTGTGTGTATGTATACTCTGCGTCACGTATGCCTTACAATATCCTAAATCGAGAGTTACGCGATTTTCAGCTTTATACACAAGCGCATAAGGTCGAAAATTGCACACGTAATTTTAGTTATAATGGTAACCTAGTAAACACCAACCGACAGTAACATTACATCAATATTATAATTTCTCACTCAGCAATGTAAATGTAAGATAGCATGCGTTGTATATAACAGTTACATTTTTGAGTGAGTAATTACAACATTGTTGTAATGTTGCTGTTGGTGTTTACTGGGAAGGCATATATGATACAGTGTTGTTCATTATATATGTGTGTGTATCCGTCCTCCATATGGTATGTTATGTACGTGTCGTGTACACATTACTGATAGCTGATGTAATACATTAATTCACTTAAATATTAATCAAATAAAAAAAGTGTTAACTATGTTAACGGCGAAAGAACGTAGCCCCCCGGTAGAAACGAAGTTGAGGATGATCGGCAGCGCTGACCGCGAAATGAGGGGACAGAGACCAGGTAGTTCGAGGAAAGGAAGGAGATGGGAGAGACAGAGTCCGCTTACACGGAGAGGGACACGAAGCTGTTATACTGGGTGATGTTGCGTTTCAGGATGTCGGCGCACGGACCTAAGACCCGCTCGAACCGTGCCCGGTCCAGTTTCACGCACTTTAACGGGCCCCTGGCCACCACGGTCGCTGCTCGGGGCCTGTCCAACAGCAGCGCTATTTCTCCTGTATCGAATAAAAGGAAAGATTCTCATTATATTAACCCGGCCTTTCCGTCCTAGTAGTCTTAGATATAAATAGAGAAACGCAACCAAGATTGTTTTGATTGGCTGTCATATCACACGATCGAGGCACCATTTTCTCTTAGCAACTGCGACTACGAGCGTACGATGTATCAGTAAGTTAAATTATTTTTGTTGCAACTTCAGTATATCATGACTCAAAAAATCCTTTTCTGATGTGCCGGGCTTAAAACGGCTATGTTCAGCGGAGAAAGAAATTCAATGAGTGCTTGGTGATCATCGTCCGTGACTAGAGTATTCTTTTAGATTTTTGATAGATTCAGGAGAATGTACCAATCAGAAAGAATAATCATTAAACGCTCACTACGCTATTTTCTCTACTGAACGCAGTTAATGAGAAATTACATATGGAAGGAGTATTCTTCCTTCTCTCACTTCTTCGAACAACATGTATGTCTAAAAGGCGTCTTTACGACGTCTTAGCATGTTTTAATATTACCTGAATTGTTACTCGCTTGCTCCAAGTATCACCATGCAAAGAAAATAGGCAGATTTTCAATATATTAAATTTACTTGTGCTTCTCGGTTTATATCCAGGACTCTACGTTTTGGATTCTGTGTAAGCTTCATTGCACATGTTAGTTAATATAAAGCGACTTAGTCTCTCACCGAAGTAGTCAGACGGCCCTAAACGGCCGACCTCCGCCGGCTCGTCTCCTTCTGAGCGTTGCTGAAGGACTACCGCGGTTCCCTCGACGATTATATAAAAATCCTCGCCCGGCTCGCCCTGTCGGACTATCGTCTCGCCGTCGTCGAACGCCACCGGCTCCAGAGCATCTGCCACTGTCAGTCTCTCCCATTTGTCCAAGGACTCTGCAAGAACGAGCGTCGAGCGTTAATGATGGTTCCCTCTTCGGCGTAGATATATTATATTTTATCTTTATGTAACATTCTTCGAAGTTTCAGGAGAAACGAGCGTGCTCTCGAAATTTCTTGGAGTAAAATTTCACTTAGAAGACTTCCGAGCGAAGAGCGGACTTACCCAAAATCGAGACCCTGGAGAGAAACTCCTCGTACATTTTCCTCTTCCTTATAGTGGAGCCCATGAGGATCCTGCGATAGGAATCCCTGTCTATGCCCCAGAGTTTCACGTCGGTCTTCGCTCTGACAGTCGCTGCGCGCGGTGTACCGTAAATTAACGCGAGCTCGCCGAAGCTCCCGCCCTCGCCAATGGTCGTCGCCAGTTCGCCGTTAACGAAGATCTCGACTTCACCTTGGTCAATCACATAGAAGTTGTCGCCCTCGTCGCCTGAAGGAACACGCCATTCGTTCAGAATCAACTTGTATGGCGATCGCGCGTAATTCAGATCCGAGATTAACATTTAAGCGGGAATAATTTTCCAGGGTTGCCACAGAAAACGAATTTTGAAATTCCACGACTTTTCCACGCTTTCGAGATGACAGTGGAGAATTTTCCATGAGCGATATGTAATCTTAAACTTTAACGTTTAGAAACAGGTATTGCAGGAAAGGCAGCTTATATTATTAGAAGCAATGCAAACTTAAAAATTTAGTAACATAATATAATCATGAATGCAAATTCAGGCCACAAAACAAAAATGAGTATTGGAAAAAAAGAATGCAGTTGTGATCATTTAAGGGAATTGAGGTCAATATTAAAAATTCCAGGTTTTTTACATCTTTTTTCCCTGACATTAAAAATTTCCTTGATTTTCCCCGGTTTTCCAGATCTGTGGTAATCCTGTTTTCGGAAAACCGCAATTTTAATCGTCAGGGCAAAAGATTCGGTCGTTAACGGATCAGCAATTCGATGAGGAATGCGTTCGCGCGGAACACGTGCCCGACGAGCGGAGTCTCCCAAGTCCAGACCTTTGCGGTCACCCGAGCTGAGTTTATCTCGACATCGCGTTTCATTCCAGTCGGCTCTATGTAAACCAACCTTTTATTTATTAAGGCTCCTGTTTCTCCTCGCCGCAGGCATCTTGATTAATGACGTCAGTAGCGAGGAAACTGATGCCGGAAATTCTTGCGGAAAATACATTGAGATAAAAGGATATGTCCATAAAATAATACTTGTAATCGATCGAGCGGATTAGTTAGAAAAATATTATGAAAACTCTTCTTTTACTTCAACAATCAATAAATAGCCGTAAAATTAACAATTTTTAAGTAATTTTGGACGCCCATAAAGCTTGGATCTTTTTGTTTTATACAAAAAGATGTACAGACTATTTATTGGTGACAAAATCTCAAAAATCACAATTTTATGGATTGGATCTTTCTTACATAACTATGGCCAATGAAATGATTTCGATCGGAATCAATTCCGAACGAGTACCCAGGAGCTTTAATAGCATATTCAATATAAATATATCACTATAAATGTTGCAGCAATTAAAATTGTATTAGTTAAATTAATTGCGTTAGTTAAAGTTGCATTGGTTAAATTGATTGCGTTAGGTAAAATTGTTGCACGCACCAAATATTGCAATATTGAAACGAACGCAAACTATTGCAAATGAGTCTTCACAGAAGATGTCGTAATCAAAGCAGGAGATATTTCACGGGGAAAAAAAAAGTACCGTTGAACCAACGGAATTTCCAACAACGCGCGTAATTGGAGTAAATATTCGTGACTCAACAGCAATATTATTGAAACTAATACTCGAGTTATTGAGAGAAATAATATACGATGTATTAAGGTTCAATAATAATGTTGTTAAATCCAGAAGATTCGCTCCAATTACGCGCGCCGCTGGAAATTCTGTTCGAATATAATTCGATTCGACGAGCATTTTCTTTCTGTGCGTAAACAAGAGTCCAGAGCGAATGGAATATCCATGGGTCGGTTGGGAAGACAAATCGGGAACAATTCGGATCGCAAAGAATTGGAAGAATTGGCGAATCGACCGAAGAGGTGATTTCGGTCGAGGTTGATCGCCGCGAGTACCTTGGCGGATGATCGCCTCGCCGGGCAAGAACGTAACGGGGAACATCGCGTCGAATATGTCGGAGCGCTCGTTCTCGTCCAGGTGCGCGAACAACACGTTCTTGGCGATGGCCTTGCTCAAGGCAGCCATGGTCTTGTAATCCTTCGGCACGACCTTCTTGACGTAGCTGGTCGCGTCCTCCTCGGAGACCGGCTCCGCTGATATGCCGCCACGTCGCCGCGGTACCTGCGGACCCTGCTGCCCTGCGGGCATGTCCTCCGTGTCCTCAGGACTCGTGGCGATCTGCTGCTTGGCATCGTGAGCTTGTTCCTGCACATGAAAACAAGCATACCTTAGTCCTTTGCGAACCTTTGCGACTAACTCCTGTTGCCTTGGTCCGAATCGACAATAGGTGTAGCGTGCTCTGAGCAAAAATAAAATGTAATTTCTGACAAAAAGCATTTCTCGCGCTGTCAAAAATTGTGACAACTTAAATCTTTGGAATTGCGACGCGGCAGTGCTGGAAACTTTTTCTTGCTTGAAATTACGTTACAATTTAGGTGTTTATACTTAGAGCAAAAGGCTAAAAACTTACTATATGCTGAGAGAAAAAATACCTAAGATATAAAATATTAAATAAATATTAAATATATAATACAATAAAAAATATAAATATAAAAGTAATAAAATGTATAATATAATAAAAAATACTATGTAAAATAAAGAATGTTTTTTTCGAGGGGTACTAACATATTTATTTATATTAAAACATATATTTTTGAATTGAGAAAAGATTTTTTTCAAACGAGAAAATATATATTTTCTTAAATCTGTAATTTTCCCACGGGAGCAATTATTTGTTCTGCTTAAATGGAATAATTCAGATTTAAATATATTATTAGTAAACATTGAATAAATATTTTTTTATCCTTTTAGATACTTTTACTCTCGGTATACTTATTGTAGATCCGAACTTATTTCTCTTGTTACATTCCTCCTTATTCCCGACTCGACTAGACCTCGTTCTCATCGCGCTCGTTCCAATGTAAATATAACAAATACCTACACGGAAGATCTACGCGGAAAAGAAGAACGAGGAAACGATATGCGTCGTAAATACAACGAATAGTTTCTGGAAGCATCGTAAAAAATCCAATAAAGGCTGGAGACGAGTCAGCAGCCGACCGAGTAGCTTAATCTACAAGACACATTATGTAATAGATTTAGACTCGACCATATATATACAGGGTGTCTCAAAGCGGAGAATAACAAACAAACGTTATCGGGTGCATCATGTATTATTATTACTCGGTTCCATATCGAAATGGCACGAACCACAGCGATCGTAAAGCGTCACGAGACTCTATTCGCGTTGCGATCGCAGTCGTTACATTCGGCACGTATTAGTCTAATTAATCCAATTCAAGCAGGCTCTAATCAGTCTGAAAGCTCGTCCCCATCGTGCAGACTTCGAAACACTAGCTCGGCGAGGAGAGAAAGAGCGGTGATTTCTAATCGACATCGAGCGACTCCCCAAATCGGCGATACTTCCACGAGAATCGGCTATCGATTCGGTGTGCATGCCGGTAAATTATGCAAAACTCCATCTCGGCTGCGCGGAGCGCATAACAAAGCGGCACATTCGCCGTAATCGCGCGGTTCTAAGTCCGGATTTACAATAGATGTGGCAAGCTTTTTGCTTTAAGCACTAAATTACATAATTTCTGGTAAAAAGCGTTTCGAATGCCACAGAGACGTTGCACTTCTCGAGATTCAAACATTATTACGACTTTCGGCAGTTCGGGGAACACATTTTGTCGGAAATTACATTTCCCATCGACCGGAGTAAAAAGCTAAAAGCTTGCCGCAGCTACCGCGGATTCGGACTTAATAATCGTCCCGGGAGAGCGCGCGCGCGCGCACGACACTTTTAACAGCCGCGTTATTTCGCGTTCGACCGCGTCGTCTCCCGAATTCACCTCCCGTTTCCAACGGGATGTATTTTTAGTCGCGCGGGCGCGCGTTCGCCGAAAAATTAATTGCGGAGAGTTATCGCCATCACGCGTGTGTGACGTCGCTACGTCACGAGAATCAGAGCGTCGCATGTACGGGACGCGTGGTGCTGCGAACGTGTTAAGGTCACCGCGTTGCTCCATACACCAAACACGCATACACGCACGCGCGCGCAAGGGCTTACTCCAGTTTCGTCGTCGAGCGTGGGTCGCAGTTGTTCAACGGAAAAAAAGCACACACAGAGGAGGCGCAAAAATTAATAATACATTAAGCACGGGCGCGCGGCGGCGAGTTTCGAAAACTCCGGCGCGCCTGGTGGCGCTTAGCATGAAATTACCGTGAAAATAATAAATTATATAGGTCCTTGGTGGATAAAAGCTCACACCGTGGCTCAAGCGAGCGATGCACGTCGCGTCGGGGCGAGAGGTGAGCGAATAATGCCATAGGTCAGTTTTCACGCACGAACGCGCCGTTCTTCTCCTCGTGGTGGTGGCGGCGGCGACGACGACGACACCGTCGTCGCCGGACGTGGTGCACGTCGCGCTGCTCGACGAACATCATACGCGGATCGCCGCGGCTCGCATTTCCCCCTTTTAATCGGCCCGCGATGCATATGCTAATGCGCTCGTCGCGTGCCGTCATCGCGAATATCGGACTGCAAATTGAGGGAGAAAGGAAGATGGAAAAAAGAGAAACCCCCTTTCCCGCCACCCCACCCCTCCTTCCGGTCGAATAAAGGCCGAATTTTCGAGGACGATTTGGGCGGGGAGATCCCCGTTGCTCGTGGCGAAACTCGATTCTCCTTCGGATGTTTTCGTCCGTGAACGTGATCCCGAGCGATGAATGATGTTTGTTTAATGAATTATGATCGATGAACGATGGATGTCTGTGCTTTTGACGTTCGAACGAAAAATGGCTCGAAAATTTGCTCACGGGGGAAAAAGCCGTTGAATCAATAAAATTTCCAACTGTAGCGTAATTGGGGCAAATCTTCTTGATTAATGGCGAATATTATTAAAACTACTGTGTTACATATTGTTCTAATAATTAAAGTAATAGTTTTAATGACATTGCTATTGAATCAAAATTTATTCCAATTATGCGTGCAGTTGGAAAATCCTAATGATTCTACGGCATTTTTTTCTTTCCATATACACTGAGAAAAAAATGTGTGATATTTACGACTATAATCACGTGGTAAAGGAATTATATTGGCTGGTATTCATAGTTGGATTTTATATTTAAGATCATCTTACGTTTATCTTTAGGTGGGCTGTACATTGGAGAGAAAAGTTTTACCGTTCAAACAATATTTATTTGATCTAAGTAAAGTGGTTATTTTAATACTCCTTGGCAAATATTTACTAGAAATATAATTAACTATATATACAATGTGATATTTCCTCCGTATATGTCAATATTTAGTTGTGTTGTGTTAAAATGTGTTAAAACAGTTGCAACAAGTTTAATTCATGATATTATAAGAATATAAAAATTTATTTTTAAAAATATTGACTCCTCCCCCCTCCCCCGAACAGAAAAATCTAAATTTAAAACCATTAGGTTTCTTCAATGAAAAAGAAGTATTACATAATTCTAGTAAATATTGTCTTAAATTTAGAATCATTTAATACTTAATTTATTCAGTAATTTATTTACAAATTAACATATTATTATGTTCTCTCAACTAAATATTTATAAACTATTATACTGTAAACTATTAAAGTATACTTAAGTTGATAAAAATATTACTTGATATTACCATTTTTTTTCTATGTCTAGTCGTTTCATTGATTACAACGCGTCTAAAGATAAACTTGAGATGATCTTAAGTCTTCAATCTGACGATGAATACCGACCATAGTCAGGGGAGCTATTTTTGTGTAGCAAGTGTTAATAGTTTTAACGATAATAATCTTGTATGCATATTGCTGCTACCACAACCAAGAAACTCATTTAGTTGATTCAAACAAAATTGTTTGCATATAGGCAAACGAATGTTTTGGTTGTGAAAACCAAACGTTTGGTTTTCTGAAATGAAAATGAAAAAGGTTTGGTTTAAAGAACCAAATTTTTGTTCTGACAACCAAAACATTTGTTTGCCCATATCTAAACAAGAATTTTGTTTGAATCAACTAAGTGGATTTCTCAGTATACCTTCTTGTTAGAACAACAATACGATGTAATTGGCACCGAAAATGACAATAATTTTCACGAGATTCAACATTTTTTTTCTCTCTCAGTGTATCCGCACATTTTTCATTACAATTTGGAACGCCCTGTATACAAGACGTCGTGCTAGATTCCAGTCAAAGTCGACAGAATCAACGAAGACGTGCGCTCTTATACAATCTCTAGTCAATGATGATATACAGCCACCGGCTGCGACCTATAAGAGCTTCACGCACACGTGCTTACATACACACAAACACACACACATACATGCGCACGTGTCCACACATCCTTGAATACACTTGTGACAGAGAAGAAGAGATATCTTATGTATCGCTTGTGAATCCTCATCTCGGCGCGAGTGTCGTTCAAGGAGACTTCTCTTTTAATGCGCAACACGCGCACCGTCGTAATATCGTCGAAATACCATCGAAAAAGGTGCGTTTTAATAAATTTCTACTTTCAGCCTTGCAGGCAAACGATTCGGAACTCGAACTCTTATATTGCGACGGAGGACCGCGGTGACTCCCCGAATCATACGCGCTGTCTGTTCGACGAACGTTTTACGAGCACATCGATTTCTCTCTCTCTCTCTCTCTCTTTCTCTCTCTTTCTCATTCCAAAGTGCTTTCCGTAATTCTTGCTCTTCTCTTCCCGCGATTCTCTGTTCGAAGAGAACCGAGCATAAAAGGACTGTAAATAGCGCGTATTTATTTCGTTCTCCCGGAAAATCACTTCTTGCGGGAAACAATTTTGTACGCCGCGGGGAGTGATGTGAGGAAAGCGTGTATGTTTCTATTCGCGAGGCGCGCGATACGAAAATACCGAGCGTCTTACCTAATCTCTCGTGTATGACTGAAAATAACTTCGCCTGACATTTTTCACATCTGCGATCTTTTTCCGTCAGGTCCTCGTCCCTAGAAGAGCGTACGCGAGACGCGATCTCCGCGGGCTATCCCGCGGCGCGAGATCGCAAATACTTCTTGGCACAAAATAACAAGAGATTCCGTTGGACGAAATCCATGCCAGAAAATCGAAAGGAAGAGAGGAGAGCGAAGTGCCTCGAAGTACGAGAAATTCGACGACCGAGCCACCGGATGGATCATCGGATTCATCGTGAGATCAGAGAGATTCTTCATAATAAAAAATGCTGTGTTAAATTTAACACATTTCACGTAATCTCACACAAATGTTTGCGTTAATTTAATAGAAAGTGAATGTGCTGAAAAATAACACAAATATCATGCCAAGAATTAACACAAAATTAAAATATCCATGACACGTTAATCGACATTGAAGTATGAAATGTGTTATTTTAACACTTACAAGTGTTATTTATAAACTCAAAAATATCGAATACCGACTCAACACAAAATATATCGAGATAACATAAACACAGTATATTAAATGAACACGATGTGTTAAAAATTTAACACAAGAACTTTAACAAGGACCGACTTCAACACAAGTTTACACCAAGTCTTTTTTACCGTGTGAAAAATCCGCGTTTCTCGCGAGGTGGAATTATCGGCGACGATTTTTCCGCGAGAAATCGCGAAAAATTCACCAAGGGGATCGCGCGAGCGCGTTACTCCCCGCGACGCAATTCTCGCGGTTTCGCCGGAGTTCTCGTGAAACGATCCGTCCGCGAAGTTGCTCGCGCCACGTGATCGAATTAAAGCACCGAACTCCCCACTGACGATTAATACGATCCATCGTCCGGGATCGATGGAAGTTCGCGCGCGAAATAACTCGCACGACGCTCGCTCTTGTCTCATACCTCGTTCATCCTTCCTCCTCGATCCTCCTCGATCTTCGCGTCCTCTCACTACCGTCCGCTTCCCCACGGCTTCTGCTTTTCGCGAGGCGTTAACCAACACCTGAGAAGCGGCCGCTTTTCGCGGCGGCGTGTCGTAGGTCGGCGATCTCGCGAGTCCTCGGACGCGACTCACGGAGAAGAAGATCGTCGTCGTCGCGATCCCGCGTCCTCGTCGGCTCGTTTCCGCGGCCTCCTTCTCCTTCTCCCACCCCGTTTCGCGATTTTACAAGACTTCAGACGGAATCCAATTAGAAGTCGCAGGCGATCTAACGCGAGCGCGCGATTCCGCCGTCGGCGCGACAGCGTCGGTACACTCACTGCTGCTCGCGTCCGCTCGTACCGCCGCCGCTGCCGCCACCGCCTCCGCCGCCTCCGGGCTCGGCGCCGTGCGGATGGATGGATGTCCCGAGATGTTGTCTCGCGGTCGTGGTCGGTAAGTAAGGTCTTCCGCTCGCGTTAACGCGCGCCGACGATCGATTCGCGACCACGGAATTTTTCTTCCCAGGGCCCTTCGGCTCTACACTAATTGCGAGATCCGCAACGTAGACCGCGCGGAGGACAATAAGCCGGGCGTCAACTTGATATTGTTGCTCGTTGGAGCTCGCGAACGGAGAGAGATCCAATTAAGGAGAGAATTGAGAGTCGCGATATTAAGATTCAAAATCCTGCTTCACCTTTCTTTAAATTAAAACTGACACATGCGGCCGTCCTTCACAGCTGAACTGGCTGCACTAGTTCAAGAAATTTACATACATTGAGGCATATAAAGCGTACGTGTAAAATTCTCACTCGCTTCAGTGTGCGATTTTGTACAATGTTGCCTTGACGCAATCGTCGAGCTACAAGATCTGCGACGCTGGACCACTGTCGAAGCGAAGCATCGATCCGCGGTGACGGCACTTTTCAAGGTTCCACGGCTCGTAAAACTACGAAGTGGGTGGTTACGTAGACCTCGTGGAAGACGATACCCTCGGGTACCAATCTGGTACCGCTGCTCGCCATCGATGGAGAAATTCGATTAAAGGGAAAATTGAGTTACTGAAAGAGTTGCAATATTAAGATTCAAAATCTCTCTCCTCTTTCTCGCAATTAAACTAACGCTGTGTTTTTCCACGCAAAAAAAAAAGAATTAGCTTCCACAGTTAAAAATTAGCTGTCCATATGATACAACTGAAATTTAATTAATTTAGCTAGTTTTTCGTCCCTGTACCGAGTTTTCAGCCGTCACAGCTGAAAACCAGGTCTGGTAACTAAATTCCAGTTGTATCATACGGACAGCTAATTCCTTTTTTGCCGTGCAGGTGTTGCGGTTCTGCACGATGCGCAATCCCGGCGCAATCGCCGAACAATAAATTTACAAAACCCGCCAGGCCACGTCGGAAGGCAGCATCGATTTAAATGTCCTATTTCGAGTGTGTGTCACATCGTGCAGCGTCGAGAGTCCGAGTGTTGGCGTTATCAAATCAAGCTCAGGATATTACGGTGATAGCTTCAGGCGCCGAAATGCCAGCGTTATTCCACCGTGACAATACCGACCCGACAGAGGAAAATCGACGTCGAAGCAGCAGGAAGAGCGGCGACGACGACGACGGCTGGATTCATTCGGTCGCGGCCTTCCACATTTTTGTGGACTGCGCTTTTAACACGCGGCCACTCGGTCTCGTATTCGCTCTCTTTCTCTCCTCTTTCCTCCTTCTTTCTCTCTCCCTCTTTCTCGGCTAAGGTTGCGCCTCGTTATATTTCGAGCGTGCTCTATGTTTAGATCAGCTGCCCCTATATATCGCGCTCTCTTTCTCGCTCTTTGCCACACATACACGCACAATTCCGAACCCTCTCTCAACCGTCTTCTGTGTCGTTCTCTCCTCATTCTCAGGTGCGTGTTCTCCTTCTTTCGCGCTCCCTTCTTCAAGACCAACGAGACGAAGGGCGGTCTCCGGTAAAAAAATTCATGCGGTTATTTCTGCGGTGAACATTTTTACGGAACGACGCGCCATTATCATATGAATTTTCAACGACACAACGTCTCTCCCGACGAGGTCGATCCTCCGCTCATCGAGACACGGTTTCTGCGTTCTCTCGTCTTCCGAGCGACGAAATCTCATCCTCTGATTTCGCTTGAACGGATTTCTAATTCGAGCTCCCGTTGCCGAAGATGCGTCGCGTTGCACATCGTTTACGTTCATTCCTCACGTGCGCTGCTCCCCCTCCCCTTCTCCCCCGCGATCCTATTTTTATATTTCGCATATTCTCGATTTCTACATTTCGCATTCGCGTCTCGATCGCTTGCTTGCCTCGTCTCGTATCGCGGATATTATTCCCCTCCGTAGGCAGCGTATCCTCGCTGTTTGCGTTCAAGCAGAGATTTCTATTCCGGAATAGATCTCTCGTATTGTCTTCGTCTAACGTATAGCCGCCACCCCCGTCGCGCCCGCTCCTCCGTCTTTCTCTCCTCCGCGGCTGTTTTTGTCGTGTACACCGCACAAGCACGAAAGGCAAACACGCGACCTGACGACGATCCGCGCGTCCCACCTCCGCGCGTTTCCATTCCGCTCGACGGCGCCGTCAACGCGCGACACTGCACTGCGTTGCACCGCGCTGCACTGTCACGCTGACGCGCGTGCGGCTGCGATAACAGAAACGCCCGTTGGGGAAGCAACCCTAAATCTCGTCCCGCATTATACGAATGATGACCATCACTCCTGACCGAGGACGAGATAGGGGATGAGCGTGTTTTTCTATGAGGAAGAAACTAGGGCGGAAAGAAAAAGAAAGAAAGAAAAGGAACTGAAATTCAGCAATCTGCATTTTTCTTCTGACGTAAAGGTCACACAGGATGCGGCAATAACTATCACCACTTTGAGTACCTTCGGAAAATAACAATTGTTATTATTGTTGTTATTATATTATATAATTTTTATAAATGTTATATTTTATAATTGTTATTATTATATCATATATAATTAGTTTTGAAGAATCGACAAATTTTTTTATCTTTCCGCGGATTTTTTCGGTTTCCTTCCCAAGGGTAGAAAAATTCGTTTAGAAAAATTCAAATTCAATTCAGTTCGGTTGGAGCCTGCCATATTTACTTTTTTTTCCGGAAGAAAGATAATTTCATGTACATGGCATAAAATATTAATATTATTATTAATAAATACTAATAAATTGCAACTTTTTGCAAAAACTAATTTTTGCAAAAAAAATTGTTTTCTGGTTTTTCCAGCGATTAAAAAATTGGTTTTCGGAAACTATAATTTACTAAGATATTATATATTTATGTTTAATATTTTGTACAATTATATTACTTACTTTAATTATTAATAAATAAATAAATAATTATATTGTATTAACAATATGTTATTAACGACTAGATGAAAGTGAAAAGGTTTCGTTCAAAGCGTTCAATGCGATTTCTGTTAGATACATTTTATACTTTCATATTTCGAAGATACTCAATTTGGTGATAGTCATGGTCTCACCCCGTCTAGAATCATCTCTCATACCCTGTATCGAATAGACTTGCGATCGTAGTGCTGGATTCGGCGACATCGCGTGTTTCCAGCCGTCGACGGTCGCTTTACGTCAGCGGTGTGTCAAGCGTCACTTATTTTTGGCGGCCGTTTCTTCCCCGCGAGCGCGCCCGCGTCAATTTTCGTCGTTCGTTGTGTAGGGAGTCTTCGATTTCCGCGTGCATACACATGGGTCGCGAATTCGTATGGGTGTGGTGACGATGGCGGTGGTGGTGGTGATGGCTCGAGGGTGGCCTCGCACGATGCGGCGCAGTGTATTGCTCGTGCACGAATTGCCGCGATAATTAACCGCCGTACGTTAAATGGGAAAGGTAACAACGGCAGCGAAAGGTCTCGGGGAACCACGGGAGCCGAATCAAAAGCTTTCGCGGCATCAACCTTCCAACGGAGGCAACAGTTCGGGAAATGCCATTGGGCTTGATTGATAGCGCGATCATCCTGTCCGCGAACCATCGGCTGTGTCACGAATGCATCCGAAACGTTTTGCGCGTCATCAAGCGCGTTAATTAGGAGGAAAACTGTTTTTTAGAGATCCACGAAATAATAATAATGATAGGATATTCAATCACGTAAATAGGATGAGTGGTAAAGGGCAAGTAAGAGCGGACATGCTCTGATCCTGGTGCGCACATATATGTGTTAATTTGTGATATTGATCACAAATTAAAAATTTAGTACTGTAATCTTTATCATATAGTAAACAACAATCAAAAAGAAACTTGATGTTGGAGGTTTTCGTAACTTATAATTTATTATTCAGGTGGTGAAATTAATATATAAGAACGTAATTTTGCTCGACAAATACGAAATTTATAACCGACCTCCTTCATGCGCCACTGAAAATGCAACGCTGAGTCTCGTGACATTCTTAAGAGAAAAATAAAAATGCTCGTATCCTAATGATCGAATGGTCTTGAAAAAAAATGCAAAATACGGCTTGTATACGAGTGTGGTGACAGCACGTAACAAACGTGTTGATTTCAAACTTTCATGAGTCGTTACGAGCAGTAACATATGTAAAAAGACATTTCGAGAGGGAGTAAGAGGAAAAGAGGAAAAGAGAATAGCAATTAAATCTCCATAGTACCATTTAAACCTCCCTTATCGCTGTCTTTATCAAATATGTCGGTACATTAGGTAGCAGAAGAACCGTACGAGCAAACGACAATGATGGCAGCACCGGCTGTGTACGTATACATTGTAAATTACAGCATTATCGCTGGTCGTTAAATCGGTGCCGTTTTTGATACGTCGATCCTGCCGTGATGCAGCGATGGCATTTTTTACGGAATATCGACTCGCGGTACTGAAAAAATCCAACCCCTTCTCAAGGCCTATGCTCGTCGCTCGTCGCGATTGTTATCTGCGACGTCGGGAGATAACACATTCTCTCTCTCTCTCTCTCTCTTTCTCTCCTCGAGTTACATTGTTTACCGGAGCACGAGATGCAGTCGCGATAACGCGAGACATTCTTGCGGAATGTATTCAACCAGCAAATTTCACGGTGCAAAACGCGAGATAAGGTAACACATGCCGCAACATGCACATGTACAGAAGATTGCACATACACACACACATATACTTATATACACACATATACATATATCACTGTAACCGTATCGCGACGCGTTTTTCTCAAGTAGCTGTAGATGCGAAATCAGGACAAATTCAAGAGAGACATGCATGATACGAGAGCTTCGAAAGAAGAGAGACAACCTCGGACGTCCGGTCGTCCTGGCAGAAGAGAAGCTCTCGCGGAGCGTCACGTCGTCGAGTATCGACGCGAATCAGTCGGCCGACGATAACGCTAACGCGAGCCCTACATCATCGTCCTGGCGATCTCATCGCGAGAGATC